GTTTCACACAGCAAAATGTGGATTTACACCATGAATAATATGAACCACGCAAAACAGCATGTAGAACAGGGAAAACATAACTCGAGATATGACTTGAGTTAGGATAGACAGAGATTGAACTGGCGAAAAGGATGCTTAGCCAACAAAACATATCAACATATGGGTTTCTATGGCCATAAATACTGCGGTAAAGGATGCAGCCAAGAACCATGGGGAGATAATGGTGATAATAAATGCAAATTATAAAGTTTCATAACCATGGAGGGATGAGATATAATGCAATGGGGATTTCACGAATGTAATGATGATGTAGTTGACATAACAATTATCGAATTAGAGTTTCATGCAGTGGGTGATTTACCAAAAGAAGGTAAACTGGGTAGATAGTTGTTAGCAATGGGGTTGACCATGGCAAGCTTAAGGGATATTCTTATTCTTAGCGCACCAGGCTGTTATTTGAAACTTAGTACCCTCTGGTAATTTAACATAACTATGGAACATCATCATTTTTAACGGGTAAATCAACTATAAATGGGCCATGTTCAAAAGCACACTGTTGATTTAGCAGAGGGTAAACCATTAAACATAGGGATAATTATTTGGGATAATTATTAACCATTAACCATTAACCATTAACCTTTAACCATTAAACATAGAGATAATTATTTGGGCCTATGTAACAGTTATGTAGGATTATGTAACAGAGCATATCACATTGGAAGGGTGGGGATTCAACCACAAACGATGCGGATTCACCTTGCGATATATTTGGTTTTACTGGCGGTACCCTCTGGTAAACTAACAGTTTGCTATGGAAAATGCTCATTTATAGTTAATTTACCTATTAAAAACGGTGATTTTCTATAGTTATGTTAAATAAGGTATGAGGTTAAAAGAATCAACATGGGGGGTTGACTCAGAAAAAATGAAATTTGACAGCCGGTGAAAAAGAGTTATGTGGGGGGTTCACAAAGCAAAATTGTGACTTAAGGTCCTAAGGTCAGAAAAGAATGACACTTGACCATGGCAAACTAGATGAAATTTGGTTATTGATGCTTGGACATTGGCTACGCTATGGCTAATTTGTTGGGGGAACAAACTAATCAGGGGTATTTTTTTGTGTGCGCTTGCGGCAGCTATTCAAGAGCAGCCATGAAATTTCGCACGGGACATAACTACATGGTGAAAACATGCGATGCGTTTGTGTATCATTGTATCCTGTTCATGCAAAAGGTTTTTCTGTGGGGTACCTGAGGCTAGAAATGCAACATGCAACATATTCTTTGCAAGAAAGACTTGGCTCTTTACCCGCGAAGTCTGACATGCAACGCAAAATGGCCAAACCATGTTTATCGAATTCCAACATTGTGGGTTTTATCTTTTTAAAGGGTTTCAGTAGCCAAAAGGTGAAATTGCGTGAAATAGGGATGGTTTTAGTATGATAGACGCTTGGGGCGATTTCGGTTTGGCACACCCTTCAAGGTTCTAAACCTCCAACATCCAAATTTCATAAGGTTAATGGTTTACCCTCTGGTAAACTTATAGTTTGCTATTGAACATGGCCATAGAAACAGTTGATTTACCCATTAAAAATGGTGATTTTCCATAGTTATGGTAAATTACCAGAGGGTACCTACTTTGATAAGTTCCATTTCAAAGCAGATTTGCTGCTTAAATGTTCTATCCACCGGTTTAGGTCGCGATATGAACATCCAATATGTTTTGGGTATGCCCAATCCTTTTCACCACATCTTTCCATATCTGTTGTTAACTCGGGCCACTCAATCCCAAGTTGCCAAGGTAAAGGGCTTTGTGAGCGATTGATTCTGGCATACAGGCGAGGCTTCTGAGGTTCCATATCTAGCCATGGGTGTAGCCCCAGGGCCTGGGAGAGTCAACATGGCCACCATGACATGATGTGGCGCCAACATACTTGGGAAACAGGGCGGCAAAGGGTTGCTTCCTTCGAAGTCAAGCATGTAGCCATGTCAAATACATGATGTTTTGGGTGGGGGTTCTAAGATATAGCCATGTCTTCTTGGGTGAGAAGCAAAAGGATTGTTCTCTTTTCTCGGCGGTGGTTTCGACTATTTTCTCATGGCTTTCAGGAGTGAATAATGGAGAACCAGCCCGCAAGCGGTTGGGGTTTATGTTATAATACACTCCCAAACGATAGAAAAGTAAATCATCACCGTTTCGGTAGGATTTGACTTGTCTATCTTTTTGGGACTGCTATATTGTTGTTCTGAAAAATATTCGGCATGATGTTCCCACATTAATTCTCACACTGTCACACTTTCTCTGACACATAAAATGGATGGATACTTTGTCCCTCCACAGTTTTGGCCATCAACCGTGATAAAATGTTATAATTAAATGGAAATGTAACTCCCATAACTAGTCGGTTATATATCATTATAAGCCCATAAAAATAACTGTTAGTTGGGCCAAAATGACCCCCCAAGTTTCAGGCGCTGCTGCTTTCTCTTCTTCCTTATCTTAGTGGTGGCCTTTGGCGTCTGGACCGGCACAGTGGCACGCCTAGATGTGGGGGTGCCACAGATGTTTCCGGATGGACACAACCTCAACGACGTGGATGCTTGGCGCGTGGCCTTAAAGGCACGGAAGTTTGTTGGAAAGTCTTGTGCAAACGATGGTTTTGCCAGGTTTTTTCTGCACCACAAACCTTAAAATATCATGCAGGATAGTGCCTTTCAGTGATGTGAATGTTGGTTTAGTTTCACCCTATGGATACTAGTTCGTTATACCTACAATAAACCATAGAGTTCAGCCACTGAAATAAGGCAACTGAACGCAACAAGGAACGGGGGCTGTATCCTGGTAGGATCTCCCCAGCAACATGACATTGGTAGTTTCAAACTATATGTTGAGTGTGTGTTTTTTGATGTTTTTTGTTAATCATTGTTTTATAAGGGATGATCCTCTACGCCAGGTTTGATCCCAGGCCATTCGCACTGACTTTGAAATCCTTTGCTGTCAGGTTACAAGAAAACTCTTCACCACATGCCCTGAAGTGCCAGGATAGAAGATTTGCACGTTGACTACCCTCTGGTAATTTAAAATAGCAATTGAAAATTGCCATAGAAATAGTGGATTTACCTCTTAAAAAATGGTAATTTTCCATAGTTCTGTTTGTTTACCAAGCCGGGTATGGGATGTTGCAGTGCCTTGGGAGGGCCTAGTTGGATAGCCCTCAGCAAGCAGCTGCACAAAGGGACGCTGCCCCAAAATCGCTGATCATCCTGTTCCCCAGTCAAACTTAAGTGATTTCGGGTAAATCCAACAACAATATTTCTGGACAAGTCCATATAGAGGGGTTTCCTACAATGTGGTGCCCCCCCAGTTATATGTTGGTTTATAAACACTAGGAATAGTATAGATATATTTACCATAAACCATAGTTATTGGAGTTATTAACCAACTTAGCTAACTATGGGGCACCACCTTGTATAGAGGGGGTTTCCTAAAATGGTGGATTATCCCAATAGCTGGATGGATTTTAATGGAAAATCCCAATCTAAAATGGATGATTTGGTTTATAATGGAACCCTCCATATCCCAAGTTTGAATTCATTCCCAATTCTATCTTGTTTGATCCTCCACGTGTGCGAATCTGAGGAAGACATTGCCGAAGACTTCCTGGTGCCGGGGATGAGTTGGACGTAGTTGGTCGAAACCTGGGACCCCAAATTCTTGCTTTTTATGTTGATCGAAATGCCCAAAATGAGTATTTTAATATATATATATATATTTTTTTTAATGGATCTATTCCAATCTATGCCCAAAATCGTAAGAAAAAAATTGGCATTATTTCATTGATCTCAATGTCTTGTTACACATCTGAAAGAGTGTAGAGAGTTCTATGGCTGAGTTGCTCTGGCGTCCGGCCTGTTGACGGTTGTGGATTTCCCCAACTGGGGAAAGCACACAGAAATCATCATCAGGAGAGCCAGGTAGTTGATGGTAGTTGATGGTAGTTGTATCATCATGTTTCAGGGTAAATTATAGCGACCTCACTGGTCTCCCGAACCCTGGAAATCATGTTAAAAAAAAAAAAGGGAAATCATCCCCAAATGGCCGAACTATTCAGGTTAGTGAAATATTATAATTTACCCAGATGTTTGTAGCTTAAGCATGCTTAAGATCTGACGTTTCTTGGTCGTGAAACCTGCTAAGAACCACTCGGTAGTTGGCTTCCAAGTCTGATGGCTACAGAAACTGGACTTGTTGGATAAGTACCTGAGGAATCGTAAGTGAGCAATGAAAAAAAACATGGTTTAACAGTTTAACCCGCCTAATTTTCCATGGAATATGCGAATTCGATTCCTAACTATAGGCAACAACACCCTTTGGTAATCTCACATAGCCATTGATACTCACGATTGCAATAGGATCAATAGGCCTACTTTCGATTGCAATTTCCATCTCCAACTACTACTCCTTCAGTCTTAACGGATGGTAAACAACTAATCAGGAACATTATATTACTATATATAATACTATATATTATCAATAGGATTTTGAGGATCCTAAAATGGAGGTACCTACCATATATAAGACCTATTTAAGGCCTATGTAAGGGAATATCCCAGCAAAATCTGTCCTTATATGGTACAGTACCTCCATTTTAGGATACCAGTGATATCCCATATATTATGCCACCATTTTTGTCGGTAAAAGCCATGTAAGGCCGCAGTCTTTGGCCAGCATCGCTAGGCCGCCAGCGAGCGCTGGACCCGTGACGAGCTGCGAATTTGCAACTTCCTGGTGCACGAGGCCGGGCACCGGGGCAGTATGGTGAATGGATGGTGATTCCCCCGTTGTGATATGGTACCCTCTGGTAAACTAACATAGCTATTGAAAATGGCGATTTATAGTGGATTTACCCATTAAGAATGATGATTTTCCATAGTTACGTTAGTTTACCAGAGGGTAATGTGGGTAAAACAAGAAGAAACCATCAAGAATCACTGGTTTATAAGGTGGTGCCCCCATAGTTATGTTTGTTGGTTTATAATCCCCATTAACTATAGATATAACCCCCTAATCAACCCTAGTTATTGGACTTATGTTCACAAACTTAGCTAACGAACTGGGGCACCACCTTGTAGTTGTATCTACAACAAACCATCTAAGATAATGAAGAGTAAGAAATAATTCTCATCTTAAAATCGTGAAATATTGAATATATATATATATATATGTCCAATATATGTTATAATATCGCATTAACATATGTGATCTAAATATACACCTGGTTGGTGGTTTCAAACATGAATTTTATTTTCCATAATATATGGGATGTCATCCTTCCCATTGACTTTCATATTGTTTCAACATGGTTATTGCACCACCAACCAGTATAGTTGTATCTACAACAAACCATAGATCACCATTTTTATAGGTGCTATGATTATCATTCTCAAATGGGTGGTTTATGACATTGTTTTTCCCACATAAGTTGAAAGGTGTTGTAAGTATAGTGGAGTTGAACCAACTTAAGAATAGTTCTTGGAGCGAGTGGAATTTTAATACAGCTGATTGATATTATATAAACCACAGCGAAATTGTAATTATCGTAAATAACTTTGCTACTGTAACGTTTGAGGGCCCCACATTGTAGCATTTATATATTTAATATATTCAATATATTCGATATTGTTTATATATATACATATATATATATATTTGTACATACATACATAGATACATAGGAATTCATCCCCAAAGGTGCGCATTTTGTGCGACGATTGTTTCATGTTTCATTCGCAGGACCGGAGGAACTTCATGCAGTGCGCTGTGCATCAATGTTTGGGACTCAGAGTCTTTACATTTGCTTTACTTCACTAGGTTATCCTCTGTTAAACATACAAAAAGCTATTGAACATGGCCATTGAAATAGTTGATTTTCCCATTAAAAAAGGGTGATTTTCCATAGTTATGCTAGTTTACCAGAGGTTAAGTGTTGGGCGTATGTTGAAATAACATGAAATAACTATAGTATACTGTAGTTAGGTGGGTTCATAAATCAACTGATCTTAGCTAAGGCCAAGGTGGTTTATATTTTTTAAACTTAACCCAACCAACTCTACTATATCTACCCTAAATCCTGATTGAAACCTACTTATTGACCAACTTAGCTTACAGACAAACAATAATAGATGCATGCTGTTGTACCGCACACGGTATTGTAACGGGGGACTAGTGATCAATTTCATTGAGAATGTAATTGGATATAATACTATTGGATATGGACCCATTTTGAAGATATCATGGGGTTCCATCATTATTGATTAGTGACTGAGTCGATATTCGTGGATTTCGGAGTTTATGGTTGCAACCTCACTCGTTGAGGTCACGGCATATGGTGGTTTTTAGGGGCCATCTGCCTGAACATCATTGCTTTGCTTTTTTGTCCACAAAAAATGTGCCCAGAATACCCGGTGAACCAGCATTGGGTTGTAACATGTGCCTGATGATTCGTTGGTTGCATCACCAGCGGCGTTTTTGATCATACGCATTCCAATGTCACTTGAGGGATGCTGAAGCTCAGGTTTATCAATACAAAGGGGTTGCCACTGGCAATTGGAATTGTATGTTTTGTTTTGGGTGGGGGGACCCCCTATAATTGATTCGGTGTTACCAGATTAGGCTATATCCGTTGAACCCGTTGTATCAGGATTAAGTTAAACACGGCTCACCGTTTTTAGTACTGGGTTGTCTTATGTCACATATTTTCAGTCTAGGCTCGATGCTTGCGAGCTGAATAGAACAACTTGCCATTGGAACTTATCTAAAAGCAGCTTGGGACATGCTCAACAGCTATGGCCCTTAACACTTATAAATGGGCTTACAATGATATATAACCTGAGTTATGGGAATTATAGGTCTATTTACAACTGTTAAGGGTGATAACTGAAGGAAGGCAATGCGCAATCTCCGCAAGCCTTCTGAGTGCTCAGCGCAGCAACGCCGAGGGGAAACCATGAGCGAAGGAAATCCATGCTGTTTTTCCCGGCTGAAGCAAGCCGTGTGGTCGTCGAAGGTGGCAAGGAGACTCTCCTGACCCGCAAGAGCTCCGCTGAAACCATCCTTTTTGATGATTTCGTGCCATCCAAGTCAGGTTTTGGAGTGGTGATGGAAGGAAATGAGGCATCCAAGTACCCTCTGTGGAAGAATGGTGATGATATACATTCCCCACTATATCACACTATATCAGACTCTATATCATACTATATCCCCATAAAATGGTTGATTAGCTTAATCCCCATTTTGTGGTGGTAAATCCAAATGTCCCGTAGCTCGTGAAGAAATCCAAACCGTGTTTGCCAGACAGCGGCTTCGCTCCACGGGGTAACGCTAAGGTCAGATCACTTTGGAAGGTCCTTTGACCTTCATGGGAAGCTCAGGCCCAACCCTTTATGCAGGGTAGGTAATGCTAGGTTGGGCCATGGCTCATGTTTTGCGGTGATGGATTTTGTGGCTGACATGATTTTTTAAATGTACAATTAATGTACCCCACAAGACTTGCCATAGTTCCGTATGCATCTAACTTGGGATAAGTCACTTGGAAGCGGGTTTTCTTCGTTTTTGTCTGTCTACATCCGAATAACGATTCCCACCAGTACACCTGGGCTCAGAGGGCTTGAATGCCAAGGGTTGGTCCCGAGACATGCCAAGAGAAAATGAAGACCTAATTAATCTGTGGAAGAGACCCACTTGAAAGTGGATTGGAAGAATTGTAGGTATATATTACTATAGTGATATATTACTATACATACCAACTATAGTGATATATAGTGATATTAGTGATATATTACTATATATTACTATGTGTCCATGAAGTAACTCCCAGTCAACCTACTGATAAAGCACCCCCCCCGTCGCGAAAAAATCCCGTCGCCCTATCCGTCAGATCGCAACGGCAGCGCGGAGTGCGACTGCTTTCCGTCGGAGCTCGAGAGTTCCCAGTGCCACATGGTGCATCCCGGTGAGGAAGGCGACGAGCAGCTCGCAACGGTGGAGCTGAGTTTGGAATTCAAAAATTGGGATATCAACATGTCAAAGCAGTTTGCCCGCGATTTCTGGGGAAACTTTGGGTAGTAAAAAACATATACCATCTGGTTATTTAACATAGCCATGGAACATGGCCCACAGAAATAGATGGTTTACCTATTCAAAAGGGTGATTTTCCATGGCTATGTTAAATAACCAGATGGTATGCCTTATTGTAGTAAGAAATACAGTCCAAATATGCAATGATCCCAATAACAACCTATTACGAGGTGGTGAGTGTGTTTGTTAGCGTTGGTGTAGTTCACTAGCTAACTGTTGGGTTCATGGTAACTATGACTAACACAAGTATATATAGTTAGGTGGGTTGTTAAACTAACTAAGCATAATCTGGTGTCCACAAACCACGCATTGGACAGTGGAAATTACGAAGAGATTCGCAGATGCAGATTCCAGCCACCAGATTGGCCATGTGGATGGCCTTTTCTTGGTTGATGATGGTGATTCGTAAAGACTGGGGCACCGTTTACGATATAACTGAACTAATATCTCCAATAACTATCGTTACTATATATGTTGTTTAGTTATTGCAGAGATATATATATATATAGTTATGGGAGTAAGTTGGTGAACATATCTCCAATATGGTTTATGATATTTATAGCTACAGTTTCCTGGGGCTTATGAACCAACAAATATAACTGGGGGGGCCCACACATTGTAGAGGGGTTAACACTCCCAGACAGCCAATACTGGATCTACGCTTGGGAGTATCTTACATTTTTAGGGAATATACAGAATAAATAGGAACTCAAAATGTAAATCCTGGGTTTAGGGTTGAACATGGACCAATAATGGGTGCAGCAAGCGTTTACTTTACGCACGTGTGCCAGACCATGTGCAAGGTGCACCTTATCACCAGTTGCCAATTCTGGGATGATACTCTGACTGGTTTCCTAATTTACTGCATATAAAACCCCTGGCCTGCCGGTCTCCATTGTGCGACTTCCTCACTTTAATCCCCATTTTTTGAGTGACAGGAGGCTGACAGGAGATTTTTCCGTGTGAAACCCAGGAAAACAAAGGACTCATGTCCCATTTTTGTTGATGCCCTAACCTTCTTGGGTTAGAGGTAGGACATCTGTATGAAATGCACATGTCTCCCCATGTTTGTTCGGTGAAACAACGCAAAGTCAAACAAGCATTCCTTGCTCTGCTTGAAACACCCCTTTCAACCCGTTCAATCCCATGAAATCATATATATATATTTCGGGGTTTAACGGTTTCATATTAAACTCATATTTGAACTACCGTATATGTTCCATTTTTTTCGTTCTACAGTATGCCACCAACCATCCAAAAAACACATGGTAGGTTACATCCTGATCCGCGTCCGTGTGGTGGGCGACGTGCCGCATGAAGCCATAGAGCAGTGGCGGGGCACGGCGGAGTTCCGGGACTATGCGATGCAGGCGCGATCAACGTGACCAGGTGGACCAGGTGGCGGTCGTCTGGAAGTTTTTTGGGGGAGTTTTTGGGTGACTAATGATGATTAATGATGATTAATGATAGATTAATGATGATTTTTGATGATTCATGTGGGTAAAACAATGCAATAATCCAGCCATGACTGGGAATGGTAAGTTCATACACCACCTATTTGTATATGGAATTGACTGTGGGATGGTAAGCATGGCAGTGTTTTACCCATATTAATTTGCTTGGTGGTTTGGAACATTTTTTATTTTTCCATTCAGTTCGGAACAATAATCCCATTTGACGATCATATATTTCAGAGGGGTAGGTATACCACCAACTAGTAATATCTTAGGGATTCTAATCCAATAGGGAAATCCCTATACACCAGTAGACTGGAATGATAGAGGGATTTTGAACACCACCAACTAGAGGGATGTTCATATTTTCCATATTATATGGGATGTCATCCTTCCCATTGACGAACTCCATCATTTTTCAAGATGGTTCGGTGGCACCACCAACCAGTGATGATTTTCATGGAAGTGACTGGGGGAAGTTTTGGCATGGCTGGGATCCACTGGGACCATGAAAAATTCGGTTGTCCATTCTGGGATGAATCACCGGCCGGCCTCACCGGGCTGGGCTGCGGTCACGACTTTTTTGGTGATTGATTTAAGGGAATCAGTGGGATCGGAGATAGTCATCTGGGTAAATTATAACGACCTCACTGTTCTCCCTCACTGGAATCATGGTTATTTTTTGTAGCAAAAATGGGATTCAAATCGGTGATTTAATGGATACTCTGATTTCAAAATCGGTGATTTAAGGGGATTTAACGGGATACTCTGAGAAAACCGACCGCTAAAACCGTCGTTTGAGGTGTGTAAACACTTTGTTGGTCCCTTGTCGCCGGGCTGTAAACATTGGCGGAGTCTAAAAACACAATTGGATATTAATTGGGCCAATGTTGTCAAATCTAATGCGGATATACGTGTAGCATCTTGGAGCATTTGTTTACTTTACAACGTGTTTCCAAGTTTCCAAGTGTCGCCTCCCACTGAAAGAGGGGCGATGCGATAGCTGCGAAACTGAACCAGAGACAGCTGCGGTCCAAAAAATGGAACATAAACAGAGACTGGCAAACCTTATACATACATACACACACACATATATATATACATTTAAAAAACAAAAGAGAGGGTTTCACAAGATTTCAACGCAACAAAAATCGAGGTAGATATCGTTTATTTGGGGGGGGATCTCATAGCCAAGAGCAAGGATATTGACCACCATTCAAGGGGTGATCAAGTGATGATAAACAATTTTTTCCCCATACAGCACCCACATGGCCACATGTCGGTGCGTTTTTTTTTTTCAGGCAGCGATCCTAGCAAACCCAATGCTGCAGAGCGAGATTGATCCTGGGTTTTCCTGAAGAGCCGTCGGTGCTTTCAATCATTGTATTTGTTTAAGGGAAAATTTGAAGGAAACCATATTTTCAGCCTCAAATATAGGTAGATGATGGTAGATGATGGTAGACGCAGATTTTCCCTTCAATCAATTGATTGAAAGAGACACTTTGTTTCGGTTTCAATCATGTTTAAGTTCCATGGCCCAAAGGCGTTCAAAGATTTGAACAGCACGCAAGTAATATCAATGGAATCAGTGTAGATGTTGATAGATTTTTCAAACATGATCAAGAACTTTAAAACTTTGTTCGCCTTAAGTACTGTATCTCAATTGGTTCTTGAGTTTTTCCCCATTAGCTTTCCTGGGTGTTCAGGTAAATCCTTCTTGTTTATGGAGTATCATGGAACCAGACCCTGGAATGCGGCATACTGGCAAAAAGAACTGGTTGGTGGTTTGGAACATGAATTTTATTTTTCCATTCAGTTGGGAATGTCATCATCCCAACTGACGAACTCCATCATTTTTCAGAGGGGTAGGCGAAAAACCACCAACCAGAGAAAGTTTGAAAGATGTGGATGATTTACAGGTTGAACATGAGCATGCCCCTTTGCCATGTTCTTGAAATCACCGGAGGGTACAGCAGTGCCATTGAGCCACTGACAACATGATTTCTATGGGCATCCCTGGGTTGCCATGATGATGAAAGTAAGGGGAATCATCTCCAGAATCATCCCCAAAAGACCTTATTATCTTATTTCAGGTTGGTGAGTTACCAATTTTCTAGATAGGTCAGAGGAATTTTCATGGGTCATAGCCCGTTTCTCTTGAGGGTATTTGCGATGAACTACATCATTTCTAGATTTGCAATGTATTCTCCCTTGCTCATCAGCTACAATCCTATATTTCCCTTCTTGCAGGATATCATGTTATTTGCTTCGTTGCTTGATATACCAATGGTGATTGGTGAAAACCAATGTAGCTCTTCAATGCTCCCTTTTCTCAATGGGAATTCCAGGATCCTAAACTGGAGGTACTGTACCATATAAGGCCATATTTTGTGGGGATATTCCCTTACATAGCCCTTACATAGGCCTTATATATGGTAGGTACCTCCAATCAATCGGCTCCTGAAATGGCCATTGATTTTCAAAGTGCACTTGTTCTTTATTTCGTTTTTCCATAGGGGTCCAAGGTTTTGTGCTCTTTGGATGCTCCATTTTCATCCATTAGATCATCTACCCTCTGGTAAACTAACGTAGCTATGGAAAATCAACATGATTAATGGGTAAATCAACTATAAATGGGCAATTTTCAATAGCCATGTTAAATTACCGGAGGCTAGCCTCTTTGGATTCTTTTGATATCCCATTTTCGGTATCTAAACTTCGTCATGCATGGTTTGAGGAGGCTGGCATGAACAAGTCCTTCTTCCGATGGGCGAGGAATCTGGGCTGGGAAACCGACCAAGATGGAGGTACAACTAAGAAATCATGGGGCAACTAATAATAACTTTGACCAAGATTTGGTGAGTTTCAGATGATTTTGCCAACGGTTCAGATATGGGTATAGCCTTTTTTACATATTCACACACTGCTTAGGTTGATTTGATGATGATGAGAGTAGAACTTGCCGTCGCCTGATTTCCTAAGTCACCTTCGATGGGGCACGGTTGCAAACGGTGAAATTCGGGCAATCGATTCTTGCCAAAGAACTCAAAAACAAGGTAATAGAACAGCTTGTGCAAAAGTTCGAACCAACATTGCAGGTACGTCAACCCAGCGTCCCAGGTTGATATCACTGTGACATCAGAAGCGTCTTCGTTGGCTGGAGACTTCTGATTCACACTCCAGCCCCCTGCATGTCTGAATTAAAATTCAGTTCTTATTGTCGCCACATATTGTCTTCCTTGCTTCGTTGTACGAAATTGTAAAATGTCCGTATGTTATAACGGGTTTCACACACACACACAAGCCCCGTAGGGCGATGACGAAATTACATGAGTAGTTGAAATGGCAAGCTCACACTGTCGCTGAAGTGACAGAATGGCAGTCCTGAAACTTCACAAAACACTAATGGAGGAGCGAAAACTCTGTGTGAAATGCGGTACTTCATGAGACTAAGCCGCCAACCATTGTTTGTGGTGAATTCAGTTCAGTGAGCGAAAGCATGTGAGGTCCGGGCTGATAACTCTCGTCAGGTTGTTATGTCGAATACTCTTATAAAGAAATTAATTAGTTAAAATGACAGACGCACATTGTCACTCAAATAACAGAATCGCTGTCCTGAAATGTTACGAGACACTAACAGAGGAGTGAAAACGCTGTCTGGATTTCGGTATTTCATAAGACTAGGCCGCCGACCATTGATCGTGGTGGATTCAATTCAGTGAACGAAAGCGTCCGAGGTCCGGGCTGATAACTCTGGTCAGGTGATTATGTCGAATATTTGTTTTTGTCGAAAAATCTTCTGTGTCAAAAATCTTGAGGTATTTAGAACTCTGAAACCTAAAGCATGATTGGGGGTAACTGAGGTCCCGACACCACTCAGAGCACTATACAATCGACGTCTAACATGGAGAAATTGTGACAGCTGTTGTGGACAAGGGCAAAAGAGATCAATTCATGTTAGTAGAACCAGTGTAGAGTAGAGGTAAATCCGATGGTCTGTAAATGGCGACAGACTTGAACCCAACATTGAAAGGTTTGAACTGATGCAGCCATGAATAAGTTACTACACACAAATCACATTCTCATGCGTATCTCTATTTGGCAAAAAAACAACAGAGTGCGACAAGTTAAGAATGATTGAGTAAGCTGTTCACTCCTTTTTGTTAAGCGAATCTGACAACATCACGCGCTTGTAAATGTGGATGGACTTGGTGGATAACAGTCATTATGGTCTTGCAAGCGGAATCTGTGGTCACAAGAGCAGAGTCTCGAGATGATATCAGTCCAATGAGATCTTGAATTTGAGGTAGATGAAGATGTTGTGGATACACGCCCGTGAGAATGAGTCGAATACGAGCAATAAGACCACTGAGGGCGGTACGTGAGACACCACAGCCAGAGCTGTGTCTCAAGGGTTTGTTCCATGGTAACTGCAAAGTAATGGTATGTTGTAGGCAATCAATTTTGTATCCCAGGGCTTCATCACCAGGTACTGGTTCCAAAAGGATGGGATTTGTATAGAAATCCAGTCTCCAAAATAGGTCAAAGTCCAGACTGGCGCGATCGATGTCTGTTGCTAGAATCAAGCGGTTGTCGACATACCGATGATGAAAATTCATGTTTGTGCGAAAGACCTGAAAATAGGAATGAAACATCCATTCTCTGAGTAATGCAACTGCTGAACAGAAAATGGGTGCCCATTGGGAACCCATGCTTGCACCACGACGCTGTTGGAATACTGTGCCTCCAATACTGAAATAACTATGATTCAAAAGGTATTGGCTGAGCGGTTGTATATGGGCAAGACAAATTGGTCGGTATTTGTGGCTATGTGACCGCCAAAATCCACGAAAAATTCGTAAAGTGCGTTCCGTAGTCTCTTGATGAATGTTGAGAAAAGAGTCAAATGTTTGTCCTTGAAGTTCACAAAACCGACACACAGCAAATTGAACAGCCTGTAACATACGAGAATGATCAACTTGATTGTAAAACCCAGCAATGTCTTCTTGTTCCACAGTGAGTTCACCATAAACGTAGTCTTGGTGGGAAAACAACTTGGCAATTGCATGTAGCACCGACTTGATATCCGTAACAGATAGGAGATCAGAATATACAACTTGCAAAATTTCATATAACGCTGTTGCTAGTGCACTTCCAATTGGTCGACACCATGCTCGAGAATAATCCACAATTGGTCTTTCTTTTTGAAATAACCTGGATGGTTTTGGGAGAATGTATGCGGTGCTGAGAGTGGATCCAAATTTGAAGTCCCATTTGTAGTGTTGCATAATCCAGTCAGGGATATTTTGTTGAATGTGCTTCAATAACGGAATAGGATACGCTTGGCAGCGAAGAAATACCGAAGTATCCAGGAACGTTCGGTTCATCAAATATTGCCACTGAGCAGGACAGTGTACCCAATAGATGAGATACCCTTATTTTCTAACTATTCTCCTTGTTTTCACAAAATAGGCTATATACAGAAAATAGTCTACAAAAAAAATAACTACTTAGGTAAATCTATGATTGAGAAATCGGTCTATTTTTACAAAATCGGCAGATTTTTCCCGGGACAGGGGGGTCGTAGTTTGGTAGAAAGTCGGTCGGGCTTTCGCCCCTTGTTTGCCGGCGTGGGTCGGAGTTTGGTGAAGGTTTGAAGATTGATTTTTGCAACCCCTCCAGCATTTCCACGCATTGGCGTCGTACTTTGGTCAGACTTTGGTCGGAGTTTGGCCCCAAATAGAAATTATCTATTTCCTAGGAAATAGACTATTTCCTAGGAAATAGGCTCAAAAAAATCTAACTATTAGTTAAATGTGTTTTTCAAAAATCTATCTATTTTTCAACCCCCCCAAATCTACCAATTCTATCTAAATAGACTACTTCTTGTGAAATAGGTTATAGTCAGAAAATAAACTATTTCAATCTATTGGGTAATGTCAAAGAATGCGGAAAATGATCTGAGGGCGAGACTACAAAAGAACGTAAGCGATGTTGAAGTCGCTGAATCTGTTTCTGGGTCTGTCCGAGAGAATTCTGTTTATAGATCTTCCACTGTGTCAGGATGAAAGCTTGCCAATATTGGATCAATGAATGTGATAGCTTCCATCGATGCAGCCACTGTTCGAATTGATACGTGTTATGGTGAAAGAAGTGTCTCCATGATGGTGAAATCTCTTCAGCCATATGTTGATGGAGAAATGCTTCATCAGGAAAGCATTCTTGTGCAAAAACAGAAATATGTTCGGTTTTTCGTTCACGTTGTCGAATATGCAAAGGAAAGAGGTGGCATGTACACAAAGGTTGCTGTTCAGGTGTCCACCATTTCAACACTTTTCGAAAATTGAAAAATGTTTGTCCCAACGTCCGATTCTTAATGCGCACAAATGGTGCCCGTACTTTGTGAAACGGAGGGAAATTGATGGAATGATGAAAAGTGAAATTCAGAAGCCACTGTTTTATCGCATCGTTCATGTCGTCAGATAGAACTTGAAGTCGCATAGGCACATTGGGTGGCGGAGATTCCGTTCCCTTAAATCTGAGGATCAAACGAAGTTGTGATTGACAGCGTGTACGAAAAGGTTCTCCCAATTGATGGGAAAGTCTCCAAAGCAAGAAAAGATATTGTATGTCTGTTTGTGATGAACGCAGTAATTTGGAAACATGAAACTTTTCGATGGTGTCAGAGCCTAAACGAGTGAGTAATGTGTAGATTCGATCCGCAGAATGAAATCTGAGGCCCAAAACGCACCGCTGATTTGTAGCCGTTCGCTTCAAATATCGACGACAAAACTTTCGAGTCTTTTCAAGAAAGGGTTTGGAGACTGAGGGCCCGAACCGCTGCTTCCCAATATGGAACTTCTGTAAGAAAGGCTTGATCCATGGCCAATTGTATTTAGGCCGGTACGTCGTCTGAAATGCCGTTTCCATGGCATACAATTTGTCAAGGTTTTGCTGTTGTAAAGGAAAACAGCCAAACCTGTAGAAATTGTTCAGGTGGAACCAAACTTTTAGGGCAGGCTCGAAATACGCAAGTTGTTGGTTACCAAGTTGACGAAATTTCCGCATACGGCTCTGTTCTCGGTCAAAAACAGAATGTTCTGTGGCTCCAATGTAAAAATCAGCATCCCAGAGATCCAAACGCATGTAAATAACTGATGTTTGTGTCCACCATGTCCATGAGAATTTAAACGGAAGTCGTGCATGTTGAAGGATAGTCATCAGTCGTCGTCGCTTGTTTGTCCATGAATTCAAACATACTCCAAAAACTGTCCATTGACTAAGAGACCATAACAACATCCGTTGAAGTCGCCAAGTCAGTTGTGGAGTATATTGCAAAAGACATGCAGCAAAAAAGATGAAGGATTGAGCAATCTCCCGAAATTGTGCGATCTTACGTCGTGCCTTTCGGGTGTGTGCTTGGTCAAAAGGTTTTATCAAGCCACCGTTAGTAGGTGGGCTTACTTGATCTGTAGCAAATTCAAATTGTCAGTTTCGCAGCAGCTGAACTGCTGCCAACAATCTGATGTGAGCATCAACATTGCATTTCGACAAAAAGGAAGAGGAGAGGCCCCAATCGCTTAAAATTGGTTCCAGGTTGGGTTGATTCGCCTGATCGAATTGTTTCAAATGGTTTTGAAGAGTTTCAACACACTTGTTCAATTCTCCCTGACGTTCCTTGGGAACGTTCTTCTTCACCCAATCACGGACTTTTGCCTCAGTTCCTGTTTGAGGTGCCTGGATTGCATAGAAGGCTTGGGCGTCTTTGCGACGATAGGACATCAAAGGGTCTGCAGGACTGGATGGGCCTCCTGGTGTACTACTGTTGGGGAAAAACGCATTGATTTGGGGTTGGCCTGTTGGGGGCCGCTGCGTCTGTTGGGATGGTGGATTACCACTATCTGGAGCTTGGGATGCTTTCAATGCAGCATTCTCAGCCTTGAGTTTCTCTAGTTCTTCTAGTATGGCTTGCTGTGAATCTTGAGGACAGAGAGTGCGAAAATGATCTAATGTTGACTGGACCAATCCCTTGATACTTGTCAACTTCGTGTCCCATTCTTGCGGATCTTGACCCTGTGGTGTGAAAGCTCCCAACAGTCGATGGAAGTCCAAGGTGTCCTTCTGCTTTGACATTTCTCGAAAAAGTGTAGTGGCAAAAGTAGCTTCCAGTCGATTGCGAAAGAATTCGCATGAAACAAATCTACCGTTGGCCACGAGGCGAAGGCCCCAATTGCTGATTCCACTTTGAACAACATCGATAAGCTTAATTTGGGATATTTCTTGTCCTGCAAGGTTCTGTCGACGACTAAATTGAGTAGATTCAACCCTCTTGGGAAGATTTAGTCCATATTCTGTTTTTGTGTCCCAATGAGTATCACTGCTGTTCCATGATGACGGGATCTCAAGTCGGTCCGTCTGCGATCTTTTGAGCTCAGAACGATGACGTGAATCGTCCCGATTCTTCCGACGAGGAGATCGTTCTCTGGGGCTCTGGCGAGATGATCTACGTCTTCCTGTTTCTCTGTGTGTTCGCCTGGTCGATCGAGATCGAGAATTCCGTCCCATGTCTATATGAGGAGGGGAAGAGTAGGAAAGTCGATAAGTTGATGTCTTGAACCTGCTGAAGTGTCAAAGACAAAATCGCAGAAGAACTTTGTGTGAAAATGAGTGCCACAGACACAGTGACTTAATGGACTGACATGCTGTTAACTCAGTAGAACTGTACAAGATCAAGGTCAATTCTCATTGTCAAATTCACATTATGAAAAATCTAAAGTATGAAGTTCCACATGCATCGAACAGAACAGACACCGGTGATGTAAAACTGATCGCATAGATTCTTCATCAGCATAACGTTCCTGAAAATATGTCGGCGATTGATGCAATTTTGACGCAACATAGCTCCTATATAAATACGCTGCGGAGCACAAATTACTTAGAAGCAACACAGAGAAGGACACCGCGGGAAGGTAGCATGCAGAAGAAGTAAGGAAAAAAGGAAGAAGGAGGCAAGCAAAAGGAAAAGGGGACAAGCAAAAAGAAAAGGGGACAAGAACACGGCAGAAAAACGATGCACACACGCGAAGCTAACAATCGAAAAATCTGAGTCAGCACTGTTTTTATACTCCAAATAAAGACTCCAAGACATGATTTCTGGAGATGTATACTCCATGGATTAATCATTTTAATTTGCTCTCATGTAGGATCACGGCGACGTACTTGATCTTCGAAAGATGGGATCGGAAAGCCCACCGTTGGTCCGCTCCATGTGCTGAGCCAGCTACCATAGTGATCATATGGTCAGCCATAACTCCACCCTGTGGTGTACGAATATGTTCCTGCCTCGAAAATGCTTCTCCAAGAATACATACAGGGCGATCACTGAGGGCGCCGCCGTACTTTCCGCACATCTTGACCAAACGTTCCATATCACTTTTGTGAAAATCATCATGGTTAGGTACGACTGCTCGGCAATAAAAGGAAGTAGGTGGCAACCATGATTTGTCAGCGGGATCACAACTAGAAGGACGAATAAATCCTTCCCGAACAATGTCACACAGAGCTAAAGCCTGAGTGTTATGGCCAAAAAGGAAACGATGATTGAATTGGACTTTGGGAGTGCTTCGAAAATATGGTGGTTGCACTGATGCTAGGATGGCCAAGGGTGTCTGTGTGGAAGACATCAATATCTGAAATTCCTCTATCAAAATAGAGTTGGCTGGATATTGCATCAAGGATGCAATCAAAATTTGGATTCCTTCCTCCACATGAGCAGCTCGTGAGTTCATGAAGGCTGATGGAAAGCATGTGCGCAAATCATGTATGACATATTCATACCAAAAACCACTCATTCGTTTGGCTTCATCGAAGGTTTGATAGCCGTTGGCTCGACAAAAATGATGCATGTCTGGAATCCATTTTTGTTGACGTGGTTCTTCAATAAGTCTGCCCATCTCAAATCCTCCAGCAATTCGATGTGGATTTTGGTATAAATCTGAGTGTAAACGCAATACAGTGCTGTACAGTCCACACCAATCCAACTCCTTCAATGTTCCATGTCGTATTGCATCAAATTGATTGGACGAAAAACGTGCCAGTGGATGCGACACCCACAAATGGTGTCCGAGGTGTTCCAATTGTGGATGCTTAAATTCCATAATCTGTAGTACACTGGAAGAGATAAACTTTTCTGGTTGTCGTCCAATTTTGAAACATACTGATTTTGTTTGAGTCTCTGCAGAAACTTCAGGAGCGACATCGCTTTGGAAGTTCTGAGTTCCCCACTGATGTACGAAAGTGCCGAGCTGAGATGGAATCGTACCAGACTTGTCCAGGGGATCCGGACCACGTTCCGATCTTGGAGGTTCCAATACATTTTCACTGCGAAATCGTTTCGATGGCCGTTCTGAGGTCGTTACCCGATCAGTCAGAGCAGGTGTAACTGATGTCGCGATTTGTCCCGAAGAATTGGGAAAGGTCAAATGTAAGCCAGGTATCCAACCTGTTTGATTTCCTGCATGCGTCAAATTGGCAAATTGAGAGATAATCCCAAGCTGATGAAATTGATTTTGAGCTTGAAGTATTCCCAATTGGCATTGATGTTCCTGAACCTGTAGACTGTGCATCTGAATAGCCTGATCATTCTGAATAACACGTTGTGCCATGAGTGATGCCTCTCCGCGAGGTACTCTGAATTCAAACTCGCCAGTGAATCCCCGATAATGAAAACTGACATCTTCAGTGGTACGTCTGCTAGCTGGTGTGGCCCAAGTAGGAATTGGATCACGAGGTGGGGGACCCATGGACTTCGGAACTACGCCGGTCGGTATCATGGTAATGTTGATAATGTCCATATATGAAAACGAAGGCAAAAGAGAAAAAAGGAAAAACAATAAAATTGAAGCAGACAACAACCACCTGTAACATTGAAGGATGTTGGTTTAAAACAATGACATCTTGCAGCAACTGTCGCTTCAGAGCCAACATATTGGGTACATTGTTCATGACATTCAAAAGCAAACATATAAAGGTCACAAAAATGTCAAACAGCGAGAAAATTTTAACAACTGAAAACGGAATTGTGAAAGAATCAGAACGTTTTTTGAACTGCAAACTGTGATTCTGTAAGGATCGGACCTGGGTAAGACAACAGGTGAGACCCCCCGAAGGGTTAATCCATCCCTATAGGGATTAATCCTGGTCCTTCGAAGGGACTAATCCGTCCATCGTTGGGACTAATCCGTTGAAGTATGACAAATTGTCATAATTCGCTCCTAAAGTGGAGTAATCCTGTGATTGACATAACAACCACGTCGAATCCGGATTGTCCCAATTGGACATTCCACTATCCACCGGAGCGGCCGGTGACCAGATCTAGACCCGCACGAAGCAGATCGACGGTGCTCACAAGTCAGTGAGTTCACCCAAACACACTGCTTAGGTTGATTTGATGATGATGAGAGTAGAACTTGCCGTCGCCTGATTTCCTAAGTCACCTTCGATGGGGCACGGTTGCAAACGGTGAAATTCGGGCAATCGATTCTTGCCAAAGAACTCAAAAACAAGGTAATAGAACAGCTTGTGCAAAAGTTCGAACCAACATTGCAGGTACGTCAACCCAGCGTCCCAGGTTGATATCACTGTGACATCAGAAGCGTCTTCGTTGGCTGGAGACTTCTGATTCACACTCCAGCCCCCTGCATGTCTGAATTAAAATTCAGTTCTTATTGTCGCCACATATTGTCTTCCTTGCTTCGTTGTACGAAATTGTAAAATGTCCGTATGTTATAACGGGTTTCACACACACACACGTATATATATATTATATACACACATATATACGTATATTTACTTATACTTGCATATATGAAATATGTAGCAGGGTGAGTCAACTGGTGAAGGGTAGTTTAGTACTTCAAGGTTTTGCCAAAAATGCTGGAGGGGGAGTACAGGAAGTGGCTGACAATAAATATCGAAGTTTCGCCAAGTGGTCGGGGATGTTGCAATGTTCTTCCTGTTGATGGCACGAAACAAGAAACCCTGGTGGAATATGATGTCCGGAGATGTTTGACATTTGTTTATGGTTCTCTTTGTTGGGAGCATTTTATATATATTTTATGATTGGGCAATGCGATTATATTTTAATGGATGCCCTGTCTTCGGGAAACATATATACCAACCGAAAGCCAAGAGGATTCCTTAGAATGGCTAATGAATGGTTATATTGAAAACAGAAATCATCGTCCAGATCCTTTTGCTAATCAAGTACCACCCAACATTTTGCATGAAACTCATATTAATTCCCATATCCAAGTGGAGAAAAAAACACATCTTCCAAACCCCAGACAGATCAATCGCGGATTGAGGTGGTTTGCAGCAAGTACCGTCCTGGGGTAGACCCTGAGGATCCATCCAACCGTTTCATGCCATTTCTGGCCATCAAAGTGCTAAGCAAACCACCAACATTCGCCATTTTCAGCTTGATTTCCCCCTGCTTTTCCGGTTTCTCACAGGTTTTCCCACGTTTCCACCCGGGTTTTCCGTTTCCGCAGGTCAGGTCCTGGACATGCGTTGCAACAGGAATTCTGGGAGACGGGTACCTGGGACCACGGCTGACGTTTGTGAATAGCCGAGGGGAAACATGGGTAAACTAACATCGATTCAATGGATTCTGGTTGATGTTTTTTTTTATAATTATTTTCCATATATTAGGAATATATTATAATCCCAACTGACTAATATTTTTTCAGAGGGATTGAAACCACCAACCAGGATTGGTTTAAGGGAAAACTTACAGGAAAGCCTCATATTTAATGTGAAGATCGATGGTTTCCGGTGTAGATTTCCCTTAAACAAATCCATTGATAGATGTGGAAAACTTACCAGTTATAGTCATTTTCCTAGAGAAAAGCGTGGAGTTTCCACATCTATGTTAGTTTATTCTAGGGTATCTATTGGTTGGACTTTATTTACCGAGCATGGCACTCTACACCATCAAGTGCGGACAGTTTCTATGTTGAGCCTTTTGAAACAGATAAATCGGATGGTGATGCTTCCATGCTTGAACCTTGTTGAAAACATCAACATGTGGTTTAAGCATGTTTAAGGAAAGGAGCCCCGGGCTAACTAAATGTCTTTAACAATGCTAAGTCGGCTAAGTGGATCTGATCTATCTATACTCCGATAGGCTTGCCTGCAAAGCAACTCATAACTGGAGGGCTGCCTTTTGCTGCCATCCTCACATTGGGAATGTACCAGCAAATGAACAATTTCATGGGGAATATGGGATATGGGTAGTCACTGCAAAACAAGATACCCATTGGTAAACGTTTACATAAGTATGGAAAATCACAATTTTTAATTGGAAAATCCACTATAAATGGTCATTTTCAATAGCTATGTTAGTTTACCAGAGGGTACCCACTTTTGAGGCCCACTCTAAGAATATTCACCCAAAATGAGATCAACTGGAAGAATGTGAGAATATAATTTAATTGCCAGCATTAAAAGCCGCAGGAAAGGGACAATCAACTTGCAATGTGGTGCCCCAGACTTTGCTAAGTTGGTTTGCAATTCCAATACATGGGGTTTTATGGCAGATTTATGTATAAGTAATGGAGCTTCTAAACCAACACACAGAACTGGGGGCACAAGCTGGGATTTCCAATATTTCCACAGACCTCAAGTGATATCTCGCGACATTTCTTGAGGTGAGATCATCACCACCAATTACGAGGTGTTGGCCAACTTCGCCATTCCGGTCAAGAGGTCGTGGATCTCTGGGGGTTTCTGGGAGATGTTTTTTTCCCCGATGTTCCTCGGGTGCTTGGAGGCTCCCAAAGCAATGTCACTTGTGTTTGGTGCACTCGGAGTTATAGATGTTATGAGTTGGCATTGTTTCCAACTACGGGTTGATGGTTTCATGCACTAAGAGTCCAAAAAAGCATGTAGCAGCATAGCATATCAAAACGTGCAACGATCATGGGATGAAATGGGCATATGATCTGGTAGTTTAACATAGCCATGGGCATTCACCATTTTTTTAAAAGTCAACCATCTATCAATGGGCCGCGGCTTGCATAGACTACTAGAGTGTATATGGTCTGGCTGCTGGTTGCAAGCATGGTTTTAATTGTCCATGAGACCCCCTTCATGATGTCCCAAGTGAACCAAAACTGGTAGGTATAGGTAGAAACCACCCAGTTGTGGTGGATTCATTGGGGGGGATTCATTAATCTGGGATTGGCATTGTAGGAAATGGGAGTATGGTGGGAGATAGCTGGATACAGGAGCAACCTCCCTCAGAACAACCGATTGATAAACCGTTCATTTTTTCTCAGAAGGATATCAGTGGACCGAAGCATGCACATCATTGGAGGCACCCCAAGCCACAGACCATCGGGGAAACACCTCAGCAGGACCGATCGCAGCATCCAAGTCTGCCACGCGGATCGCTTGTGCTACTGTGGCGCAGCTATATGCACCTATCCGGGAAGGCGGGAGCGTAGAGGCCGTTCCCAAGTGGATTACCGGTTCTGTAGAGGCCCAGGAATGGTCAGGAATGGTCAGGGCATGTCCTGGCCATTTTGCCGCGTGGGATGTTTTGGCGTCGACCCGACCATAGACTTTGGGGTATCATCCTGTAGGAGGCCGAAATCAACAATTTTTTGATTATTTCACTGATGTATTCTGATGTTCATGTTGCGATAGACTAATTTACTTTTACTGCTAAGCATTCCAACGTGCCAACGATACACTTACTGGGCCACCATCGTGAAACCGTCTGCCGTTTGAAACAGGACGACAGTAACACAGATCGCCAGTTGCTCATTGGTCTGGTGGTTGGTGGTTGCGGAGTCTGGAAGTCCCCCCTAATTTTAGTATTTGGGGGGGTTAGTAATAGGGGGAAAGGATTACCCTCTGGTAAATTAACATAGACCCTGACCCTGAAAATAGGCGAGTTTTAATGGAAACCAGTCTTCCAACCCCTACCTGCCAGGGTCTATGTTAATTTACCGGAGGGTACTCATGCTAATTCTTTTATTTGTAATTTCTATTTTTTTGACTGGCCAACAAGAATACGCTTGGTCGAGTACCTCAAATTTTTCTGCGAGATGTAATACCATGTTTCCCCGTTGGAGCTGCGGACGCTCTTCTGAAAGAAAGCGGCGAAACCGGGAAGAAAACAAGTTTCCCCTTCAGGACTACGGCCGATCGCATTACCTAGATACCTGCAGGATATCCTGTAGGTACATTTGTAGATATAAGGTATCTAGGATTTCAGCATCTACATCAGGTTCTCTCTTGTATCATTTCTCACATCACAAGTTTTTGGTGGCTACACACCACCCATTTTCTTAGACAATTGATGCGATCTATAGACATAGGAATAGGTATAAATAAATATAGATTTTAGATCATACAATATAGATAGAAATCATGAACTACCATGAACTACCTCTATTATATACATAAGATGTTATATCTAGCAAGCCTCCTTAAACAGATAGACGTGCGTAACATCGGTATCCAGGCGTTTAGTGGACCCAGTGCCTCGATCCGATTGTGGGTTTCGGTGGTTGGTGGTTGGCTGATAGGGTGCAGTTTTTTCAGGGCCCCAGTTGTAGCAGTTAGAAGTACTAAGAAAACCCCATTTGAATGGAGAACAAAAATTGGCAAATCGCAATTTTAATACATGTTCATACCTTTTAATCGTTTTTTTTGTGGTTTGAACATGTTTGAACCATCATGTCCCGGAAATTGGGATGTTTCTAATGGATTGTGAACAAAGACATAGGGGGTTTCATTCAACCAAGCAATTTGGAGCTTTTGCAGGGGGCTTTAACGCGTACTTTTCATCAACCCTCAGCTGGCTTCAAAATGGGGGATTAAACCATCCATCACTGCAAAGGGCATATTAATGGCATATACTTGATGGATATTGATGAGAAATGTGATTGTCACAACAATGGTCGAACCCCAACATGTCCCTTTTTTTCATTTATGAAATGTAGATACATTTATTTGCTTTCTTCATGCATGTATACACATATCCGTTGAAAATGCTGGTCAACCTTGATAGTTTGTGTTTCTCATTCCATTTTCCCTGTCTCTTTTCTGAAGATGTAGTATGGAGGAGTTTGATTCAGCGAGGCATGTTCCAACTCATGGAAACCGTTAACCTAATTCCTATATAATTACCTTTACGTTTACCAACTGAGCTAAGAAACTGAGGAAAACCACGTATAGAAGGCTTGAGATCCCCCTTATATCCCCATTATGCTTATAGTTTAGTCTCTATTTTGGTTAGGGGTGTTATCAATGTAAAACCGCAAATTTAAACCTTTTTATTGGTGATATTATGATGCCCATCCCTGCTTAGCTAAGACACTGACATTATATCCCATTCATATTACATTATATATTTTTTTTGGTTGGGTCAGTCTTATGTTAGTATCCCAATTATATGTCCCATTACATTCCCATATGATGTATGTTTTCCATTATGTACCCCATTATAGCCCATTAACATGCGATTATTATTGCATAGTTATGCATCAAAATTTACTATATCTATTCTATCCCATTAAGTTATACATATTCCATTAAGAACCCACATGTTTTACAACAAAAAATACGCTACGCACCACCTGCAATGTGCCTCCCAGTTATAAGTTGCTTTATAAACCCTAGTAAGTATAGATATATCTACGATAAACCATAGTTAACCATAGTTATTGGAGTTATTAACCAACTTAGCTAAGTATGGGGCACCAACTTAGCGATTCCGAACTGGGGCACCACCTTGCACCTTGAGCTTCCAACGAGGTCATTCCTGACATCTTCTTCCTGCAACGCCTCACCATTCCGCTGCTCGTAGCGCCCACGGTGCCACCGCGGCTCCTATTGGCGGCTGACGTCGCCGTCACTGAAGGCGATGGCGAAACGCTAGACCCCGGCCCTAGGGGGGGTAAACGTCATGGGTAAATTTCTACTGGTTGTTGGTTTGGAACATGAAATTTGTTTTCCATTTCATATATGGGATAATGATTATCCCATTGACGAACTCATATTTTTTTCAAGATGGTTATTGCACCACCAACCAGTCTAGGTCAATCGACTGGATGGATAGAAACTCATCCTTTAGTCTTGGATGGTATGGGATGTTCTACGTTCACCAGCTAAGATTTGTTTGTTTTTTGCAGGGTTTCCAAGATTGGCACTGAAATAAGGCGACTACTAAAACATCTATTTAGCCAATAGCTCGTTGGAGCAACCCTGTCCTGTTTTAGTTGACCTTGAAAATCCCATTTAGCAAGATGTTTCCCATGGTTTCCGATTTGGCAACTGAGGTTTCAATACCCAAGTGCAGTTTCTTTTCCATCATAAGTCACAGAAGAGAATGATGAACTTGATGTATATCACAATTTGTCCTTTTGAAGTAGCCATTTTCTTCCAAGTCTGAGAAGTACACGGTCAATTTCTTGCTGTGCAGCCAAGTGGTGTACGAATGTGCACTGAATGTCCCACATTTACTGCAGATCATCATGGCTGATGAGCAGAGCCGAGCCCTCAACCACTGTGGCAGCCCGTCTCAGTGCTCCAAGCAACGGTTGGGAAGACTGCCCGGCAAGACGAAGTGCGCTGGATCATTTCTGCCATGGCAGATGGCAAAGCATGTGGGTATCTGAAGCCGGACATGATCACCATCCGATTTCTTTGCGGAACCGCTTAGGATCACAACAAAAAGGCTACATCGACCTGTTGCTTCTCAAGTTTCGCATGCCCAATTTCTTCCTTGACGCCCATCAATGAATGGGTATAACCATGGTCATAAAGCGGAAGGGACATGCAGAACGGAACCCAAGATTATCATATAATGTCACTATAATGTCATGATATTCTATCCCCGACAAGTAGTTGGATTGAAATTTGAACCCTATTAATACTGGTTGTAGCTCCATATGTGAACCATAGTTCCATTGTTCACTGGTCAAATCACAATTGTTTGATGAGTAAACCTCTATGAAATGTTGATCTAAAGGCGATGGAGAGATAGGCTTTGTTGGTTCAAAAAATGGTAAACAAATTAAACAAATCATCAGTTTTGGTCCGTTGTCCAAAACAGATGCCGAGTTCGTGATCGAACTGACATCCTGGTGAAACCACCCTTTTCGGCATCTTTTTGGGGCTTAAACCATTCAAACCCCCTTAAAAATCATGTATAAACCATGTATATATCCGTATATATAAACCGTATATATCCGTATATATAAACCATGTAAACCTTTTAAGACCATGCCATAGTCAAATTTTTCCATGAGTTACACATGTCCAGGTCATCCTGGGCATTTTGCCTTTGGCCCTTCCGTGGCTCCGATGGCGACGGCTCCGGCCCCTTTCGGCCGGCGCTTGCAAGGCGAGCGATCAGGGTTGAAAGCCAAGCTATCCTAGCTACATGGCTCTGAAAATGGATGAAATCCATGAAATCATCATGAATGACTAGTACTAATCCCATGAAATCACCATGTTATAGTACTGGATGGATGTTTAAACACCTGATTTCATGGGATTTACTGGATTTTGTTTTGCGATTTAAGAGGAATGTAATCAGGTTTAATGATTCAATGATTTTATCAACACATAAGAACTTAGTGGAACTTAATGGTGATATAAACACCCAAAATGAAAGTTGCTCCATCCTATTGGCCCAGAAATTTTCGCTCAAGGATTTTTACCATGAAAACAACAGGGTGATAGAATAAATACGATTCTAGAGTATTCACATGAAGTCCACATCAGGAAAACAGGGTTGCTCCGATCGGTACCCTCTGGTAAACTAACATAGCTATTGAAAATTGCCATTTATAGTGAGTTTTCGCATTAAAGATGGTGATTTTCCATAGTTATGTTAGTTTACCAGAGGGTACCAATAAAGAGATGACATAATTCGTCAATTTTAGTCACATTTTGTCCATTATCTAAATGGCTAAAACCGGTGGCCTCTGGCGGTGGACATACGCTTGGTGGTACCCCAGGTCGGAATCGCTACGTTGGTGAACATAACTCCAATGACTCACTATGGTTTATGGTAAATATATTGACATACTATTCCTAGGGGGAAAACTACATTGTATTCAAGTGGATTTTTTGTGAACACGACACATTTTAAGCTTCGCTATGTTTAGGAGGACTCCTGCTTGGCGAAGCCAGGTGGTGTAGACGTGTCGTTGGTCTGGGGCTTACGCACCAATGACCTGATGCCCTTGCTGGGGCAGCCTGAGAGAGCCTGGCATTTTGAGGTGACTGGTTGGGATGGTGAAACATGGGGGATGATATAGGGAAGATATACCATCTGGTTATGACTAACATAGCCATGGAAAATCCACCATGCTATTAATAGGTAAACCATCTATATAAATGGGCCATCTATACCATGGCTATGTTAGTCATAACCAGAGGGTATATCAATTTATCCCAAAACGGAGACTGTATTTGTCATTTTCCAACGCAACATTTAAGGGAAAGATATAGGGAAACATGTTTAGGACATGACCATCGAATCCATGGAGATTTGTGGCACCATCGAATCACAGCGGTTGAATTCGATTGGGTTTATGGTAGATAGAACGAACTAGTATTCATGGGGTGAAACTAAACCAACAAACATAAGTGGTTGAATTCTATGGACTATGGTTTATGGTTTACCTATAAGTGGTTGAATTCTATGGACTATGGTTTATGGTTTAACTATAAGTGGTTGAATTCTATGGACTATGGTTTATGGTTTAACTATAAGTGGTTGAATTCTATGGACTATGGTTTATGGTTTAACTATAAGTGGTTGAATTCTATGGACTATGGTTTATGGTTGAACTATAAGTGTTTGAATTCTATGGACTATGGTTTATGGTTTAACTATAAGTGGTTGAATTCTATGGACTATGGTTTATGGTTGAACTATAAGTGGTTGAATTCTATGGACTATGGTTTATGGTTTAACTACAAGTGGTTGAATTCTATGGACTATGGTTTATGGTTTAACTATAAGTGGTTGAATTCTATGGACTATGGTTTATGGTTTAACTACAAGTGGTTGAATTCTATGGACTATGGTTTATGGTTTAACTATAAGTGGTTGAATTCTATGGACTATGGTTTATGGTTTAACTACAAGTGGTTGAATTCTATGGACTATGGTTTATGGTTTAACTATAAGTGGTTGAATTCTATGGTTTATAAGTGGCTTATGGTTTAACTACAAGTGGTTGAATCCTATGGTTTATAAGTGGTTTATGGTTTAACTACAAGTGGTTGAATTCTATGGTTTATAAGTGGTTTATGGTTTAACTACAAGTGCTTGAATTCTCTGGTTTATAAGTGGTTTATGGTTTAACTACAAGTGCTTGAATTCTCTGGTTTATAAGTGGTTTATGGTTTAACTACAAGTGGTTGAATTCTCTGGTTTATAAGTGGTTTATGGTTTAACTATAGTCAATGTGGATTTCTTTAGGTTTATAAACCAACAAACTTACATCACTGGGGGGCCCCATCCAACGTATCATTGTTCCGTGGCCAGCTCATCCCAACTCATGGAGGGTTTGTAACTGGTGAAGTCGCCATGGCTGTCAATGTAAATTGATTCAGAAATGTTATCACTAATAGATAGATGTTGCCGTGTTTCTCATACTGTACATGTATGGCTGACAAAACAAGGTATCACTAGAATATACTAGCATGTGTTGTGTTGCCAAGTATATTCACTATATACATATACATATATATATATATTTATTATATGTATATATAGATAATCCCCCACCCCTTAAATGTATATTGAGGGGGGAGGCAGGGCATTTTTCATACATGTCCACCCGCACTCTGAAACAGCATTTATTGTATGAACCTTTTCTGGTAAAATTACTGAAGAGGTTACCTAAAGAGGTGGGGGGGGTCTTCCTAATACAGTACATTTTCAGTATTTGACTTCAAAAGCTTGTTTTTAGAAAAAGGGGTTGAGGGGTCGTCTGTACACGCGAAAACGGGTTCGTCTGTACACGCGAGAGAGGGTTCGTCTGTACACGCGAAAAGGATCCTCTTCATCCAATTCATCTATATAAGTTCAGAATGTTCTACAACATTACCTTTTATTTTCTCCATGTCTATCCTCTACAACATCACCTTCTTCTTTTTATTTTCCACATCAACAGCATCATCCACATGTATTGGCAACAGCCATGTTATTTAAATTATTCACAACCTGCAGGATATTACCGGCATCATCCATCATTTACAAGCAAACCAAGAAGTCGGGGGGCGTAAGGTTCCAAGATAAAAACCTATAGGGTTGCAAATGTTCAAAGGACAAGTGCCTATAGGAAACGGTTGTGGGCCTTGAACAGGGCATACTAACATCTCATGGCATCTCACTCCTTCTTCTCTCCCCCTTTTCATCTCATCTCATCTCATCTCATCGCATTTCATCCTCATCTCATCTCACCACATCGCAGCCTCAGGAACCTGAACGTTATTACCCCACCCCACCCCACCCCAGCAGTAACTGATCAGCCAAGAGGTTTGGTGTGCCTGTGTGTGCACAGGAACATGAACGTTATTACCCCACCCTACCCCACCGGTAACTGATCAGCCAAGAGTAGTGCCTGTGTCTGCAGGACAGCAAGAAAGATGATAAGGTTGCTGTGCCTGTGTGTGCACAGGAACATGAACTTTATTAGCCCACCCCACCCCACCCCATCCCCAGACAGCTCTGTGTGTACAGATGAACCCGATATGCGTGTACAGATGAACCCGAAATGTGTGTACAGATGAACCGGGTCTGTGTGTACAGATGACCCTGATTTGTGTGCGCAGATGACCCTCCATCCAGAAAAAGGTGGGGAGGGGGTTTCATACATTGATTTTGATGCTCATGGAGTTGTCCTGGGGAATCTTACAAAATAGCATGACGTTTTTGAGGCCCCTTCCCCTGAAATCTAAGTTTGCCAAAGCATAGGAGGCCACCTACCCCCATGGGGTAATGCATTAATAATTCCCAAATTTGGAGGGGGGGGCAAAATTTGGAAGCGGGTGGGGGGAGATTGAGAAGAGGGGGGTGCAGATGAAGTGTCATGCAATAGTATGCAGTAGTTGTTGCTGATTCTTGTCTATTGTTAGGGTGCCTTTTTCCAGGTTGCTGATCGGCAGTTTTTGAGGTTGAAACAACATAGTCACCCCTTACTTTCATACATTTCCAGTGTTTTTCAGAAACCACCTAGTCCCCCTATATTTTATACATTTGATATTGTCTCGTGTCATTCAGATTACTGCAATAAATGAACATAGTCCTCCCTATGTTTCATACATTTTAAGATTCTTAACTTGCCATGGATTGATAAAATCTGATAGTTCATAGTAGCAGCTCACCCCAAAGGAATACATTTTTGGGGCTTGCCAAATATTGTTTTGTGCTGGTGCAAGGCAGGTCCCGCCATGTCTCATTCAATATTTACTTTACTTCGAGTTATCCCCACCATGACATTTATACGTTTTGTTACTGGCAAATCTTCTGGCATTCTATCTGACATATCTTCTGGCATTTTATCTGGCATATCTTCTGGCATATCTTCTGGCATTCTATCTGGCATATCTTCTGGCCTTTCTTCTGACATTCTATCTGTCTGGCATTCTATCTGGCAAATCATCTGGCATTCTATCTGGCAAACATTCTGGCACTTTATCTAGCATACCTTCTGGCATATCTTCTGACATTCTATCTGGCATACCTTCTGGCATTCTATCTGGCATACCTTCTGGCATTTTATCTGGCATATCTTCTGGCATTCTATCTGGCATATCTTCTGGCATTCTACCTGGCATATCTTCTGGCATATCTTCTGGCACTCTATCTGGCATATCTTCTGACATTCTATCTGGCATTCTATCTGGCAAATCTTCTGGCATTCTATCTGGCAAACATTCTGGCATTTTATCTGGCATACCTTCTGGCATTCTATCTGACATTCTATCTGGCATAACTTCTGGCATTCTATCTGGCATATCTTCTGGCATTCTATCTGGCATATCTTCTAGCATTTTATCTAGTATATCTTCTGGCATTCTTTCTGACATTCTATCTGGCGTTCTATCTGGCATATCTTCTGGCATTCTATCTGGCCGTTGAGGTCCAGCGGTGCTCACTGAGCTCGGAGGGTCCCAGGTTGAGGTCCAGCGGTGCTCACTGAGCTCGGAGGGTCCCAGGTTGAGGTCCAGCGGTGCCCACTGTGCTCAGAACCTGGCGGTTGAGGTCCAGCCGTGCCCACTCAGATCGGAAGCCGGCAGTTGAGGTCCAGCAGTGCCCACTGCGCGAGGAAGTTGAAGAAGAGATTGGCGACGAGTTGGCAAGGCGGAAGTGGACGTGGAAGTTGATGCAGACATGGTCGAGGAGAAACTGGAGGAGGAGGAAGAGGAGGAGGCGGAGGAGGAGGAGGAGGTGGAGAAGGAGGAGGAGGATGAGGAGAACAGCTCTGATAAAATCTAACAACCCTCACCTGGCAGGTGGGGAAAAAATCATAATGTATAGTATAAACCTTCTTGACATCTCTTTCCACCGCCGACCTTGACCACCTTTCCCCCTACCTCTCCTACATTTGATGGAAATGTATTTCGCAGGGGGGGTGGGGGGTGTATATACACGGAAGGCAGGGGGCTTATATTATATATATATATGATTATAACATGTTATCACTAACACAGCTACTGCTAATCATATAACTTGGGCACCTTTAAAATAGAAATCACATTTGTTTAACTAGTTAAAGCAACTACAAACGACCATTTTCCATACACACACACACATATATATATATATACACATACACACCCACACACATATATATATATATTTGGTTGGTGGTTTGGAACATCTTGCATAGATTGGGAATAAGCATCCCAACTGACAAACTTATATTTCTCAGAAGGGTAGGTATACCACTAACCAGTCAAATGTCATCAGTATATCATGGCAATAGTTGATATTTAACATATATATATTTATACATATATATATACACATATGTATATATATATATGTATACATATATATATATACATTTATATACATATATATATATATTTACATATATACACATGTATATATATATACACATATACCTGGTACATCCTTATATTGGAAAAATGATCTGTTTCTAAAGAAACAGGTTTTTTGGAAACGGATTGGAAAAAAACAATCTAGAGGGTTACTTTAATCCTAACTAGTCTTTTGGCATCAATGGGAATATCTACGTTCACCAGCAAAGAATTTTTCATGTATCTGGCTGATTGGCCATGATTATTAACCACTATTAACTATTTATTAACCATTTATTAACCACTATTAACCACTATTAACCTGCAGGGTATCTAAGATTGGCAATGTATAATGGATCATGTTCATCAATGGTTATCATAAGTCGTGGTTTAAACCACCAAAAAAATGGCATAACCCATTAATGGGAATTACTAGGGTTATTATACATAGACATATGTAGCTATTGAAAACCAGAGGGTATAGCCCACCATCCAGTCATCCAGTCATCCCACAGCGCTGCCGTAAAAAAAGGCCGCCTTCCGAATGGACGCGCCCAGCACTCAGCGCCAGCTGTTTGCGGCCTGCAGCCTGGGGAAGGCGGCGCGGCAGACACCGTGGCAAGCTAGGAAATCCCATGAAATCCCGTATAAATCGACACTTTAGGGGGAAAAACCTAGGAAAACCATGGGAAAATATGGAAACAATCGAACTAAATAGAGGTTTTCATGGGAAAACCCTAGGAATATCACGAGAACATAAGAGAACACCTACTATAAATGGAGGCTTCTTGCCGGGAAAGTCATCTATAAACGGAGGTTTCTAGCTGGGAAAACAGTCGAAGTATATAAATGGTGGATTTTCCAGCAAACCACGTTTGATTACCGGATATATGTTGACCCCAAGTTTTTGTTGGTTGGTTGATGGGATTACATGGTATTGAGGATAGGGTTGAATGGGATTCGATGGGATTAAATAGGATTCAATGGGGTTTAATGAGATTTCAATGGGTTTCAATAGGATTCAATGGGATTTTATGGAGTTTGAATGGGGGGATTTTTCCGGGGTCTGACACCCAGTCAGGTGACTCATTCGTGACTCATTCGGGGCGGAGAAAATTGCTGGGTCAACACATACCAGAAACCCACCAGTTGATCTTGAATGGTAAGGTATGGTAAGGTCCTTTTTGTTTCCCTTCATCTTGAGTTTTTACTACCCTCTGGTAATTTCACATAGCTATTGAAAATGGCCATTTATACTGAGTTTTCCCACTAAAAATTGTTATTTTCCATAGTTATGTTAGTTTAAGAGAGGGTACTTTTACTGGACAATGAAATCACTCGCTATGATACGACTTTTGGTGGAGGACATCCAAGGTCGGAAGATTAACCATACGTGTATTTGTATATGTGTACATGTATATGCATATGTGTTTGCATGTTTGATTACTGACTCTGTTCCCGTAGTATACATACATACAAATGTATATATATATATATGTGTATGTATGTATGTATGTTTGTACGCATATATTCACTCATGCTTATTTACATATATATATATATTTATTTATTTATATCTACATTACAATATTTTTCATTGCATTTGGATAAGCGAATGTTTCACATCCATTTGTGTAGGAATACATACCCCTTTTGCCCATGCCATGCCAGAGCTCTCTGAGGACAAACCGGAGTTATTGGTGCAGGACGTGGGTGCAGCTGTGTCAGTTGATAGCTGAAGGCAGCACACCACCACAACTGGCATATCATGTCACATCACAATCCAAGCTGAGACCTCCAAAAAATGGTGCCTCTCATAAATCCAAAAGGTATTTCGAGCTTCCATCGCAGGTTTCAGGCAAGCATCAGTGGTTATGCCACTTCGTAGCTTGGTTAAATGAGATCATCAGTTGATCGCTTCTGACCAATCAGGATTCTGGGTCGGAAAGCGGCTCAGGGAGGCCCGTTAACCAAACGTAGCGTCACCATATCCCCTGTTTCGTTCAAAGTCACTCTTCAACAGAGATAGTAAACAGATGTAAACAGAATCCTTCAAAAATCTCCATGAGAATATTTCCACACCAGTATTTAACAAGAAAACACCAGATACTAGTGACACTGCTTGTATTCCTAGGGTTGAAGATGGGCCCAGGTAGCCCCATCATTGCCCCACCAGGAGACGGCCTGCTGGGTCAAAAACTTCCGAAGCTATGTCGCTTGAAGAAACCTTTGGGATGGGGAGATCTGCCCAGTGGATCAGTGGATCCACCGGGCCTTGGATGCCCAACTTGAATAGCTGGCTTCAATGATCCAAAAATATCTGAAAAGACCATCATTTGCAGAGTACCTACGGTTGGCCATGAATGTGTGGGTTTGGTCTGAAAATGAGAGATACCGCATGCTCTGTTGTAGGGAAAGTTCTTGTTTGAATGGAAGGAATAGTGAAGAACCCTGTGGCTTTCGGGTTCCCAATTTAGAGACAATATAATTTACCAGCATTAGCTATGTTTTTCTTGCCCGGGCAGGTGATATCATGGACGCAAGTCATCTAGCAAGTGGCAAGTTCGCTATGTTCGCTATGCATTTGGGATTGCTGCTGTGACATTCGTCCAAAAATCATCTTCCACCCTCCATGGTGTATGTTGCTCTCCAAGAATTGACTTAGAACCCCCTGCGGTGTGGGGATCATACCCGGCATGATCTTGCAGTGGAATCAAGGTTCATGAAAGTGCACCGGTGAATCCACATTTGGGGAAGCGTGCAGGCTTTGGTCAACGTCCATCAATTGGTTGGAAACAAATTAACCCTGGGATTAATAATCATAATTATCATCATCATCATCATCATCATCATGGTCATCATCATCTTCATCTTCATCTTCATCTTCATCATCATCATCTTCAAGTTATTTAACCCACCTATGTCATCATTATAACACCATAGTGATAAGAACCCCGTATCATGCGCGAGTTATGGGTGGTCAACTCCCCTTATCTTGGTCCAGAACGGGCTGAATGCCAGTCGAATGAAGGGCCCTGATGACCTGGAACTTTGTAAACCAAGTTGGCTGGTAGATTCTTTCATAACCACATTTCTTTTGACCGGTCTTCTTAAGGGTACAGTTGATTTAGAATATTGGAAATCACCTGTTCTGTTTCTATTGGGGGCATAGATACCGTTCATGGCTACATGTCTTGTTCCAGTGGGTGCCTCCCATTGGAGCCACCCCTATTGCAGATATCTGAGATTTTCCGTTGAAGATGCCATGAACCCCCCAAAAAAAGTGTTATTTCAACCCCGAACAATGCAATTTATGTTCCAGCAATTTAACATAATTATATGGAAAACCCACGACTTCCAAAGGAAGATGATTTACATGGCGAGTTTTCCCACGTTTTCCCATATGGGGGTCGCTGAGGTAAAGATGGCTGGTTTGCCTTTCCCTGTGCCCGACCTCAATGGCGCGGGAGGGCCGGGGTCGGGTTTTCAGCTATGAAATATGGCAAGGAAAAAATCAAACGTGGGCCATGGGGAACTTATATACCATCTGGTTATTTAACATAGCTATGGAACATGACCCATATATAGATGATGTACCCATTTTTTGTGAAAAAAGGATATGAGTTTCCATGGCTATGTCCAATAACCAAAGGGTAATTGGGAACTTATAATGGTAGTTCAAACTAAGAACTGATTGGTGGCTTGGAACATTTTTCCATATACTGGGAATTTCATCATCCCAACTGACTTTCCTATTTTTCAGAGGGGTAGGTATACCACCAACCAGAGAAGTATGGGGATAGAATTGATTGTTCTTAACTTCCTTAGTTGCCACATGTTTTTTTTCACGGGTTTTGCTGAGATGGTGATTTGCTTGGAGAAATCTTCCGAAACAGAAACTCTGCCAGGCCTGAGGAATCTATGGAGAATATGCATGCTATATTTTATGATATGTTGTTTTTTTTAAATTTTTTCATCATGTTTTTTATGTTATTGTATGATTCTCATATTTTATATATCTCTTGTTATTTTCTGATATTTTGTGGTGTTCCTTAAGCAACCCGAAACAAGTCAACAATGTTACATGACCACAAAACAATTGCTTCGCCTTAGCCACTGCAACAACTTTCACAACTCTTGGGATTACTTGAACGTGCATCCGACTTGGTAAGTGGGTCAATTATTATACTATGTCAATTATATCTGGGCTATATAGGGCACCCATCCACTGACGACCCCAGGGTCCCGCACAGCCAGCCCTCTGGAATCTGAGTTGCAGAGCACGTGGTTCCAATCCACCTTCAGCAAATTCGTGGATGGCCGTGTCTTGCCGCCCCTGGGCAAAAGGCATGGCAGGCATGGGCAAAATAAGGGAAAGAATGGCGAAGAATGAAGCAATTTATAATCCCTTCCCACATTCATATGACATATTCATATGTTAACCACCCCCCTCACCAGAAACTATGGTTCAGTAGAGGGATGTACAAATATTTGGAACCAGTTCGGGGTGTTCAAATAGTCTAGAGATGGGATTACTGGACCCAGAAGTGGGAATATCCGAAACATGTTTGGCAAACACCTGAAATTCCGGGACAAAGCCTATGTTTGGCATTTTTGGGGGCGCGTTTCCAGTTCTAAGTGGATATATGATCAGAGCTATTTTTCCTTTACATCCCAACTTATGGGGGTTCGTGCCATGTATCTACACAGTAATCCAAGTAGGCTCCCAACATGGCAAACCAAGGAGCGGCATTCTGGTGAAGGACTACATGTGGCTCGCAGATCCCTGGCTTGAAAATGACCCCCCAATGATAGCTGGCATAGCCTCAGATTCGTCCCAATTATATAGTGGATGGTGGTTTGGAACGTTTTTTTATTTTCCATTTCATATATGGGATGTCATCCTTCCCATTGACTTTCACTCCATCTTTTTTCAGAGGGGTAGGCGAAAAACCACCAACCAGATATTATTAACCATCATTAACCATATAATAACAATTAATATTATTAACCATTATTAACCAGGTATATTAACCAACCAGGATGGTTGTGTGTGGTGTCACACACGCATTATTGAGGTGTCACCCTCGGGCGGGGGGTGGCGTGCCAAGATTGGTTGGGTGAAAGAACTTTTTTTTGTTACACACCGTTTTTTCAAAGCACATGGCGGATGTGTAGCAACCAGCTGTGTATATATATAGATATACACACATATATGTATATATAGATATATATATATATACACAGCTCATTAGCCTTAATATATACATATATACATATATATATATAATGTTTGCAATGCAGCCAAGATTGGCCATACTTTCTATGGTGCACCCTTCAGTGAACCAACTAAAAGGAACCCCGCCTGAGGCGTTTGCATGATAATATGCCACATCTATAAATTAGATATACATAGTATATGATAATGTGAAATATTGCCAAGGCCCACATGCCCTTGTTTTCGAAGTCTGTTTGACGCTTGTGGGTTTGTTTGGGCCAAATATATACTCTCTGGTAAACTAACATAACTATGGAAAATCACCATTTTTAATAGGTAAATCCACTATAAAAGGGCAGTTTCCATGGCTATGTTAGTCATTACAGTACCAGAGGGTAATGGATAATGAACTTGTTAGGACCTCCCCTGGATCCAAGCATCGAGGAAGCCTAACTGGGGTACCACTTGGCTGATCCAGGGTCTACAAGTCTACTTTGGAGATTGGATGCCAAAAAAGCACCACGACATGCCACCTGCCAGGATTCTTGCCAGGGAATACAAACACATCATATAAGGGTCAGCAAAAAGATAGACAAAACATCTAGGATTTTGGAGATGATGTTGCAACCATTATTTCCAGGTGTCCTCTTTGTGTGGCCATTGCGTTTCCAAATGTCGTTTTGTTTTGGACTGTCAATGTGCTTTCAATAAATAATATATAATATGATCTAATATCATTTTATATTATATAATTTAATTTAATATAATAGAATATAATATAATAGAAAATGAAATAAAATAATATAATAAAAATAATAACATGAAATATGATATAATATAATATAATTTAATATATATATGTATATATATAAATATGTGTGTGTGTGTTTAATATATATGTATGTAAATTGGTATTTAATATAAATATATATAATATATTTATATATACAGAATATGACATATAAATAATATATATATATTACCTCTAATATATATATATATATGTTTGTGTATTTATTTATTCTCCTTTTCCTGTAGGACAGTGTGCCGCCAGATGGCATGTGATATGTTCATCATTTTTCAGCAACTCGAAGAGCCAAAGTCCAAGGAAAACTTTGAACTCAAAGCCACCTATGTGCAATTCACGGTGGGCTTGAACTACATGCATCTCGCCCCAGGGATTTTGCAGGGACTGGATGGGGGGGATTTAACAATCAGACATGCAGGTAACTAGCCAAAGTCTGGGGTTAAGTGTCAAATATGGTGGTATATAAACGAACTGGTGACGTATGTTAATTAGTATCAATAAATTTAATTTAGTGCCTGAATCTTTTGCCATAAATGGTGATATGTGTACGTAAATATAAATGTGTATACGTGTGTGTGTGTACGTTTATATATACACAAAGACTAGCCAGCGAAAGTTTTTTTTTTTACAGGTTGTTTTTCTAATTTTAAGAGGAAATCAATGAAAAGAAAACTGCAGATTTCGTTGCTCCGGTTCAAGGTGACATGCTGGAAGATAAATAGAAACAATCGAACCACATGGTTTTGGGGGACTAGGTGTTTTACCTGGTGAGGATATCCCAGTTTCATCCCCAGTGCTGGCTGACCTATAAGTTACTAATGCATCTCATCTCCCGGGTAGTTCGAGTACTTGAAGATTGTCATTCGCAACATGACCCCAGAAGGTCCAGTTCTTCCATGTCAATATGTTTGTTGAAAAACAATTTTTTTGTTTACTGCAAAGTCTCATAGATAACCGACTATTTGGTTGACTGGAGTGACTCTGGATACTTTGTGGCGAGCTTGCTATGGCCTCGCCACAAATGATGTTGAGCATATAAGCAGAAGTATCCAAAACATTGCCTCAAACATCATAAAGTATAGAAGTATAGTGTGCGAATTCATGTCAATTTAGACTCATCTCGATTGTGTTTCGTCTCCTCAGCAGTGCTTCAGCCCCATATGTATTGACCCGCATTATCATACGCGTCACATATCCATGTTGCAAACAGGTCAACCCAGCATGAAAGTCATCAGTGTCCACATATCTGTGTGTCTCATCTTGGGGATTACCTCCAAGTGATTTAAAAAAGGCAAGTCTAGTGAGGAAACCTGTGGACAAATTTAGGCCGATAGATTTTTATCCCATGATATACTGGATTTATTGGACAAACCCGTGGTTTATGATCCCCAGCATTGTGTCATCAAGTTGGTTTACTTGATGTTTGTGCCAAAGCCGCTACCGAAGAAGAACCGAAGAACAAATCATGAACATGGATATCTCATGCTTGCACCTTCGATTTTGATGGTCATTTTAATGGGGAAAGTGATGATAATATGATAATCTGGCTGGTGGCTTCAAACATTCTTTAGGTTTCCATTTCATATATGGGATGTCATCCTTCCCATTGACGAACTCCATCATTTTTCAAGACGGGTAAAACCACCTACCAGTTAACCGTTATCAACCACTATAAACCACTATTAACCACCATTAAACCACCTGTTTTGATAATATGATACTGGATCAGGCCGGGCCTTTCTGGCCAGCCATTCCGCACCAACTCGAGGACCGCTCAAAGCTCAACCATCCTCTCCTTGATGCAGGAATGGGACAACGTGGCTCGACCACGACGTGGCCATTGCCTTTTTTTTTGGTGCCATTTTTGACCTGCAAAAATATGGTGGACAACCATACCCTCAAGTTGGAAGGTTCTAAGACCCCCCTTGTAGATTCCATTTTTGAAACCACTTTTGGGTTCTAAAATGGTCCCCCTAAGGGGGTTTGAAGCAACTTGAGAGGATGGAAAACTACACCGAAGACGGGGCTGATGGATGTAGTGTTGGGACCTGCAATTTTTGGGATTCCCCGCTGAAGACGGGCTCAGTAACCAAAATGTGAATGCTGGATCAAATTACGTGAAAAGAAACCCTACATGAACATCACATTGCAGTTATGGCCCGAAATACCAGTTATACATGGTGAATTAACTGGTTATTTCTATGGGATTATCCATTTTATAAATGGGGTGAATTAGTATTAGTACTTATAACCACCCCATTTATGGAATGTATAATCCCAAAACTGAACTATAACTGAATTCACCATAACTTAAATTAAATTCAGTTATGGTGTGAATTATAACTGGTATAGCCCGGGCCATAACTGAGCTTAAAAACCTCGGCAGAAAGCCGCAAGGTGGTGGACGAGATCAATCAGAATGCGCCACCGGATGCTGATCTCGAACGTAAACGTTCAGGGTAAAGCGTGGTGAAGGGTTGGTCAATAGGATTGATACTTGAACCAGTTGTAAAATGTAGATTTAACATAGTCATATCTAGTCGTTTTAAAACTTTAAAACCATGTTTTCCCAGTCAAAAAACGTGGGAATCACTAGGCTCATCACGTTAGTACTGTACTGCACTGTACTGTAGATGATAGTAGATAGATCGTGGCCCCCCATTCTCCCCTCCCTTCACTGCAATGCATTGGGTTTGTTCCAAAAAAAGAACCTAGGATGGATAGTTTAGTACTTGAACCTTTTGCTCTAAACACGGGTACCTACTAAAACTGACCAGCTAAAAGACATTTTTGCATGGTAGTTGCCAAAGACTGGCCATAATTTCTTGGTGAAAACTTGAGCGAAATCCGTGTTCTTGATAAGTCATCCATGGTTGGCTGGATCGTGTTTGGCCATATGCACTTAGATTTCTAGTTTTGTTTTGCGAAACAGATGTGAACACACCGCAATTCCCACCAGAAATGCTCGTAGTAGGGGATCCACTAACTTTCAAAACTTTCAAGGAGCAAGGAAAATTAGACTTGCAAAACAAGCCCTATTTTGACCAAGCCTTTTGGTTGTGAGAACCCCGCCATGCTCATTCCACGTTTGGGGAAAAGTTACTCGGACAATCCTGAAAGCTTAGATCCATTATACTATTTTTACATGACCAAACTCCCATTATATTCCCATTATATGCCCATTATGTTCCCATTCTATTCCCATGATATTCCCATGATATTCTCATTATATACATTATCAGTATAATATCTGTTTTATTCCCATTGCACTTGTCGGGGGGTTACTATGGGTTACTATTTATCATACAGTAATCATATATCATATCATAATATTCCCATGGTATTTCCATGCATTCTATCCCCATTCCCATTCTATTCCACCACTACACAACATTCTACATTCTAGAATAATCCCATATATGACTGTAGTTATATATTAAGTAAATTAAATTACAAATATATATATATATATATATATACATACATATTCAATTCTAAATAATTACATCCCATGGCATTCTACATCCCAAATATAAATTATACCATTCGATATGCCCCCTGGTAATTTAACATAGCTATTGAGCATTGCCATAGAAATAGTTGATTTACCCATTAAAAATTGTGATTTTCCATAGCAGACTGTTAGTTTACCGGAAGGTATTTCAAATTCCATCAAACGCCCAAAAACTAAATCCCATCAAGTCCCATTAAATCCCATTTCATGGCAATGAAATCCCACTCAATTACCATCAAATCTATTTACCAGAGGGTAATGTGGTTAACAAAAATCAATAAACCATCTAAACCATCCCATTTGGGAATGATTCATATATACCTACAGTTATGGCCTGGAATACCAGTTATAAGTACTAACAAAACCCCATTTATAGAATGTTTTTTATCCCATAGAAATAACCAGTTATAACCAATAAATGGCCTTTTCTACCTACCATTCTATATACCATCTACCACTACATCAATAAAAAAAAATCAGGATCCTAAAATGGAGGTACGTAAACGTACCATATGTTTGGCCATATGAATTGTGGGGATATTCCCTTACATAGGCCTCACACAGGCCTTATATATGGTAGGTACCTCCAATCAATCGGTTCCTGAAATGGCCATATGATTCATTTTTCTACCTACCATTCTGAATGTACCATCTACCACTATCCCCACGTGTTGGCCATCCCTTTCCGGTGGAGGAATTGGGTTCCACCTGGCACACTTCGTCCCTATGGATCCGTGCGGAGGCGGAGCTGGCCATCGCCACTGGGCGCAAAGTGTAACGGTGGTCCCTTGGGAGCTATGGAGATATTTTTCCAATAGGAGATATGGATAATTTTATATGTAGTATATATATAATATACATTACATGTAGAGATGGATGATATAGATATTGGTAAATGATTTATGATATGTGATATATATATATATATATATCTACCTATATCATTTTTACCCACATTATTACCATCAGTTGGTTTACCAACCAAAAAACCAGGTGATTTTGCCCCAGTTCGTTAGCTAAGTTGGTTAATAACTCCAATAACTATGGATTATGGGATATATATCTATACTTACTAGGGTTTATAAACCAACTATTCATATATCTGGGTAAAATTTCATAAGAAAATGGTGATTTAACCAACATCAATGGGGGTTTCAATGGGATTTTGGTTGCTGGTTTATGGTAGCTAAGTTGTTGCACATAACTCCAATTTCACTATGGATTATGGGATATATATCTATACTTACTAGGGTTTATAAACCAACTATTTATATCTAATATATCTATAATATATCTAATATATCTATAATATATCTAATATATATATATATATGTAAAAATATTTGCATATATATATATATGTAGAAAGAAATGCATGTATGAAAAAAATATGTATACCTATATAGGTATATGTATACGATATGCAGGTGTGGATACATATGTACACACACATATATATATATATACATATGTCAAACTATGTATGTACGAGAGATACTTCAGCAAAGCCAGGATATTAACCTCGGAGTCCTTGGACGGATGGTTTTTTGTACTTGCTGTGTTTGTTTTTATTTTTGAAGTTGTGTGCTGAGAATTGGTGTAGGCCCCACGCGGGCGTTCCTTGAGAATTTGTGAACTTGATCAATCATCCAGATTCTGCAACTGGCAAAAGCTGAGAGTTCATGCAACGTAAAGAAATTGGTCAATTGGCTGCAAGAGTCAGTTTTCCATTGTTTTTAACCAATAAAACATATCTTGAAAGAGTGAAACTACAAGGTTTGATCCAATGCGCAAATGGGAAAACATGGGATAAACCCGGAGAGAGGCCACAATATCAACCTTTCACGATGTCATAACCTGTGGCTGAGATTGTGATGTTTTATCTTCCAATGGAATTTTTTCATTGGTAGCAACTGAAAAACGACAGAAAAGTAAAATCTTGCGCGTACTAAATATCTGACAAAGATATGTTCTATGTTTTTGCTATGCAGTCGCTATGGGGTGCAAACCATCATTCACACATAAAGACTTCAATTACCAACCGAGGTCCTGGGGGATTAGATGGGTAATTAATCACCATCCCAGCCATGAAAAAAACGCGGATCAACAATCACCATGATTTGAGCCCCAAGATAACAATACGTACGTGTTTATTTATTACTGTTTGAATGGGATGGAAAACCATACTCCTATCTTAACATGGGGTTTGCTATAATATTTTTCTTGCACCTCCATTTTGAATGGTTGAATCACCATAGTTTCCGGTTAGACACCTATTTTCACTGATGAAATTACATTCTTTAGTGGCTAAATCCCAAGTAAAGCCAACAAAAACAATTGACATGGTAAAATGATAGCTAGGTACTTTCTTGAACTGTTTAAATCACCATTTAAGTCCCAACTCTATATGATGATTTTCTCTGGTTTCAGCAATGAGACATGGCACCAAGGTGAACAGCACTGTTCTGACCATGTTGGTGAGTGCCTCTGGCGAGACCTCGCTGCGAGCTAAACCACCACTTGGTCTCCCGAAACCTACCATGACTGGGGATGGTTACAAACCACCTTATGGTCATTTTAGGGTTGGTTTATTATGCCTTTACCACATTAATCCATGAAAATAAGGCCATATTGGCGGATAGAATTCAAAAATGATCGTTGGTTGATGATTAGTTGGGGGATTGTACTACTTAAGATATTGAGGATTTCATCATCCAGAATCCATTTATTCCCCGATGAACCAGCGCAGCAAGGGACGACCGAGGGTTTTGAAGAACCCGATGTGCACACCTCAAGAACGGAACATGTGGAAACCCAGCAAGCGCCATCTAGAACACAGAAGCACATTTGAACAAACCTGTGGGTTCCGTGCTTATTTTCACCATGGATTTCCGGGCCAGATCGTGTTGCGGGAACACATCCTTGAAGATCCCTAGCCCTGGATCCTCTGGATCCGAAAGCTGAGGTGCGATTTGCGGTTTCCTTGGCGCTTTGTTCTTTACTCACTGGGATCCTTTCTTATCCTTGATGGTGGTGGTGAATGTGCCTTCGGCTACCAGCTGAGCGAAAGATGCGAAAGCGAAGCTCAGTGTAGCTTGTGGGGTGCCTCCAATTTTTTCCTCAGCGCCGTAGATGTTCACAATATCTGCTAAGAGTTTGAGGTACCAGTTACCGGTTTTGGAATTGATGTCAAAGCCCCACCAGATCCACCAGGATTTTCGAGTATGACTGGGGACCCCCGCTGCGAGGGATGTTTGAGATTCCCCACATTTGAACCATCCCGAGGCCGGGAGCTAAGGAGCCCTGGTTTTTCAATGCTATTCATATATTGCCCATGAAATTGCGAGCAAAGGAACTAGAGTCACTAGAGTTTCCCGGATACATTTGACACATTCAGATGCAACAAGTGTGTCAACAGAGAGCTAACATTTTTTTTTCCCTGAGCAAAGTCAAGGGATTGGAGCAAGGATGCCCAAGGTTCACCAAAAACATCCAACTGATCTGACTGGACAAACAACCCGAGATTGTTGAGTTGATCGGCGAGTTTTTAGCCGAGTCGTATGACAATGATTAGTTGTTTGCATTTTTGCTACGAAACAACTATGTTGAATTTGGTTAATCATTGTTAATCTATATTTGAGTGTATGTGAGATTTGTCATGTGTTTTTCTTGGACCCACAAAATGTTGTAGATGGAAAAGTGGCTCCGTACTATTTTTGGGTAGTAAAATCTGTCATTTTGGGTCCCCTATGATCATCCTAAATGTTTGCTGTGTGCGTTTGTGGTTTCAAAGGCGTCATTATGTAATTATTGAATTATTGAAGTTTACGCATGGTTGGATGAAACGGAAGCAAATATGGGATAAAACTACATTGGAACTATGTTAACAGGTGGGGAGAAATGTATTGTCTAAGTTCATGTTTCCCGCAACTATAAACCAGTTGAAGTCCTACCATGGCATCAATGATGCTAGTACCCTCCATTTAGTTTGATGATGTTCTCGGCAATTCCCAAATTCAACAGACATGACACTCTAACTGGGACTATTCCATGTATAAAGCTAGGTCCTGGGCCATACCATGGTTACTAACTGTTCTTAACGACCAACACTGGTATTAACCCGTATTCCATTAATTAATGTTCTAAGTCAATAATTATTCGATTCATATCCTCATGATGTTCCATTAGAAATGATATCCCTGCATATTTCATTCCCCATGTGCTCCATGTATGGAATATTTACCAACATTTACCACCATGATGACCCAGTCATGTAGGTAAATATTCCATACATGAAGCATATGGGTACTCCTGATTTTCCATTCACAGATCCTATCATCGTCGAGGTGATTGGGGTGACCTTGGCCCTGGCCTGGTTTATGATGGTCGCTGGGATCTGGGTCTCGTTTTGCTGGAAAACGACGATGAAAAACCACGGGAAAACATGGGGAAAAAAACCGAAGGAATGAGACAAGGGCGATGATCGAGATGTCAATGATGGGATTGTGATTAGTGAATTCTCATGATTTACCTGGGAAACTTGGTTGGGTGATTATGATTTGATCTTTGGCTGTAAACTGGGAAGTCATGTGCTTGCCACAACATATTTCGTGGCAGAGCATCTAAGAATGGCCACGGTTGAGGCCGTGTTTGAGTGGAGAATAAAAAATACATAGTTATCATGCCCCGATGCTCCATGGATGGATGATTAACCTACATTTACCCCATGGCCCAGTCATGTAGGTAAATATTCCAGCACCATGGTTCGCATCTGGGATGGTTTCCTGTGAAGCTGCCCCTGGTTGCATTTGCGAGTGAAGCCGCCGAAGGGTAGTCATTGTTGATGCGAAACGAGCATGGCTTAGGTCTTAGGACACTATTTTTGGGGGGTTCTTGAAATGGGGTGGACAGGTGGACCCCCCAAACCATAGTTGTCAACACTAAAATATCTGGGCAAATTATAACGACCTCACTGCGACCTCACTGGAAATCATGGTTAATAAGGGGAATCATCCCCAAATGGCCTTAATTCAGGTTAGTGAAATATTATAATTTGCCCAGAAATATACTAAAATGGTGTAATTTTGGATGATTTGGGGTGCCCCCCATGTTAGGAAACTTCCATGTCGGTGGTCTTAGCGATTTCCTGTAGATTTTTCTATAAGCCAGCCAAATAAGAGTGAAACTCTGCCATGTTAGGAAACATTTGCCAAGGATTTCCTTCGTTGGTTGAAGGGTGTGATAAGCAGGCTTTACCAGCTCTCATCTCCACCCGTACTACATACCCTCTGGTAATGACTAACAGTTTGCTATTGAACATGGCCCATTTATAGATGGTTTACCAATTAAAAATTGTGATTTTCCATAGTTATGTATGTTTACCAGAGGGTATCCAGCGTTCTTGGTCTAATCTTATCCAGCGTTCTTGGTCTAATCTTACAGCAACGACCAGCAGGCCTCGCAATACCTCCCTGGTGTAAAAAAATCTTGAAGCCGCAGTTACCCAACTAGGTTGTCTGGAAATGGGCAGTCCCATCAAATTTACCCTCTGGCAATTTAACATAGCCATTGAAAATGGCACATTTATAGTTGATTTACCTATTAAAGATGGTGATTTTTCATAGCAGACTGTTAGTTGACCGGAGGGTATTTCAAATTCCATCAAACGCCCAAAAACTAAACCCCATCAAGTCCCAATCCCATTATATAATGGCAATGAAATCCCATTCAATGACCATCAAATCTATTGAAATGTCGACAATTTGTCGAGGTCTTGATGGGCTGGGCCGTGGGTGTCCTGGAAGTCCTTGGTCTCATCGTCTTCGTGGGCTACAGCATCACATACACCTTGCACATCGCGCACAAGCTGCTGGGCTGCTAGGAACACATAAATTCTATGGTTTATGGTAGATATAACTATACTGGTTGGTGGTTTGGAACATTTTTTTAAAAATAATATATGGGATAATCCTTCCCATTGACTAGTATTTTCAAGATGGTTGAAACCAACCAGTATGTGTAGATATAACTAGAGTTAGTGGGGTTTATAAACCAACATACAATTGGGGGGCACCATCCTGCAGCAGCTCGGAAAAGAGAGAGAGAGAGAGGAAAAACAAACAATACCAAGAGGAAAAAAAAGAGCCACAGAGTCAGATTTGTTTAGTGTTTTTGGAGTAAGATGATTTTGTAAATTATCTTTTTTCAATGGCCATTTCAGAACCTAAATTGGAGGTACCTACCATATATAAGGCCTATTTTTCAAGCCTAAATTTCAGGGAATATCCCCACAATTCATATGGCCAAACATATGGTACAGTAGCTCCATTTTAGGATCCTGAAATTCCCATGGGTTTTGTTTATTTGCTCGCACTCAAGGTTAGCCAACTTAGCAGGGGGTCATCAAACGACCAAGATGCAATGTTGACCTGGCGTCCATTATGCGATTCTTTCCCAAACACCCTAGGGAATCGATGGTATCCACAGGGCTTTCCTTGAGCAAATTCAAGCAAGTAATACTTAACTGGTTCGTGGTTTGGAACATGTTTTATTTTTCCATACATTGGGATTAATAATCCCAACTGACGAACCCATATTTTTCAGAGGGGTAGGTATACCACCAACGAGTTGTTTGTTGATTTTAAGCACCCGTCACTAAGGTTGCCAGTTCAAAGGATTTACTGCCCAATGATCACTGGGATTCGGGCCCTTGTGCATGTCAGCGAGGTAAACCTTGGTTTGGGTAAATCGGTCAACTTCGTTTGTTCCAGAAACGGCGGTAGATTGAGTGTCTAGCATCATCAACGCAAATGTTTACATGTGTTTCTTTGCAATAGTGACAAACATCTACAGGATGGTGCCCCAAAATTTATGTTGGTTTATACATCCCATTAAGTATGTATAGTTATATCTACCATAAACCATTGTAACAAGCTATCCAGATCTTTGTTTCGTGCAATGTGTCCAATTTTGCCAGCAATTCCTGCTTTTCTTGCTTCCCGACCTTGGTGAATATCCCATCATTTTGTGCTAAAACATGCTAAACCAATTTTATTAATGGTGAACGCCTTAGTTTGGGCGGTTAGACCCAATTTCGCTGGTTAAGTCAATTTGCTGGTTAAACCATGTCAAACCTACTACTTGACTCATCTTTTTTTGTTGATTTTCTGTATGGGGCTGTCGAACCAGATGGTTTAATATTGCCAACTTTCAGAATAGCCAATTCAAATCAATTTAACTATTAATCAAGATACTCGAGCGATGTTTCTCTATGTTGGCTTAGAAAGAACATTATCAGAACATTGAAGTTCCTCTACAATATCATTAAACCACATTCAACCATGATAATCCCATTAAACCTCCATTTTTTGGTAAGGTTTCGCCACCTCAGATGCTAACCCAGGTACCAAGAGCACATCCTGAGCTCCGAGTCCATCCAGCTGGGTCGACGGACGCGCGAGCGCCGCACGTTGGCCGTGTCTTACGCCTTGCGATCCATGCGTCTCGACCGTCACAAGGTAGTGCCCCAGTTCGGAATCGCTAAGTTGGTGAATAACTCCAATTTCACTATGGATTATGGTAAAAATGTGTAAATATATCTGTACTATTCCTATGGTTTATAAACCAACAAACATAACTGGGGGGCACCACTTACTGTCAGGATTTCCTGGGTGGAAATCGGGAAATCCGGAGGGAAACCGCTCGGTTTCTAACCAAGATGAACCAGCAGCAAAATCACCACTATGTCCATATAAATTCCATATAAATGTGTTAAATTCCACTATGAACCAGCACTATTATCCATGAATCACCATTATTCTAGGTCAATCTTAGATGGGTAGAAACTAATCCTTTAGTCTTTGGGTATCAATGGGATTTAATTTTTGGCAGGGTATCTAAGATTGGCACTGGAAAAATGAGGGTTAAGACAAAACAAGAAAATATGGAGTCAAGATGGGCTAGGTATCAGAAAATTGGATTAATTTGGCTAACAAACAGGGGGATGCCATGAGAAACCGTGGGTGGGTGAACAAGTAGAATCGTGACATAGCAGCTTATATAATCGGTAAACCGTTTGGCTGGGTAATGAACCAATTATTGATCAGAGGACGTTTGCCAACAGATTTGATGTGGCCATCAACAAAAGGGCTGGTAGAAGCGGGTAAACTGCCTTACATGAAGGGAATATGATACATGGTTCATTACATGAGAGAGAGAGATATATATATACATACGTGAAACAGCTAAACATATCTATTTTTCTGGTAGGGCATCTAAGATTGGCCATGAGAACTGGTGGGCAAGTATGGAGGAAACATGGCAAAAAAAAACATGGCAAGAATCATTCATGGCAAGAAACGTGAGGACACCATGATTTCATATGTTTATAATTGAAGTTTGTGGATGTATGTAATCTAAAACTATCAATTGCATGGGCCCATATCTCAGCTTTCGGATTTCTTGTGAATTATTCAGAGCTATTGGATGAGCCACTGGGGCTAGAGGGGCTAGAAGTTTGGGAACCTGTCAGCCTGTGAAATACTAGGCCTTAGAAAAGCTGTAATGTTGTTAGGAGCTACTTGGTGCCATAGGTATGACCTCACGGTAGATTTCACGAGAATACTGGGGGAAAGGGGCGGGGATCGGGTTGGGAGGAGGGAAACTCATTGGCAATTCTGGGCTGAAGGGGCTGAAGCACAAGCTCAGATGGACTTGGGGCTGTTGAATGAGAGGTTTCAAGTAAGATCTTGCGGGTGCTTGGATTTCGTCCCACCTGTCACGAACTCACTGACAGGGGAAGCCCTGGCTAGGGGATTTTTCTCCCCCAGTAAGCAATATTAAGCATGTGTATGAACCGGTATGCAACCTAAGAACAAGCGATATGCCATCACAAAGGTTACGTCCCCCCGTTCTTCACATGGGAACATCATGAAGCCCACACATCTGGATGTGGAAGTTGATGTTCCGCACTTGCATATACCCTCTAGTAAACGTTTACATCGCTATGGAAAATCAGAATCTTTAATAGGTAAATTACAATCTGGTAAACGATCACATAACTATCAAAAATCGCCATGCTATTAATGGGTAAATCAACTATTTCGACTGGGCCATTTTCAATAGCTATGTAAACGTTTACCAGAGGGTAAATCCCATTATCATCCCATTATTCACCATTGGCAACCATTAAATCACCATAAAAATAGTGGTTAATTCACCAAGTTTCTAATTGGATTTACCAGAGGCTCACCCGTTGGCGAAACGCCCTGGAAAAGACCAGCTGCAGCGGCGAGGTCGGGCTCCATCGTGGGGTCAGCCATTACGACCTTAGGGTCGAGCCGCCTGGATCGCTTGGCGAGGTTTAAAAATGGTGGATTTCTCTCATGGCACTTGCGGGACTTGCGGGTGCAGTTCCTAATAAGTGGATAAGATTATTCGGATTGATGAGTGAATCCCCTCGGTCAAGAAGTCTCCCAGTGGCGCTATCCCAGCAACTGGATTACCATAGTTACTATAGCCAAGTTTCGACAGGTGATCCTGAAACGATATCCCAGCGGGGGTGACCTCCCCATTGAAAACAATCCTCACCCCGTGTCCCAAGTGGGGCGTGGCGAAGAGGTTTTTTCCTCTTCTTCTGCCAGTTGGTGATTTTCGTGAAGTTTCTGGGCAGGGATCTTGGGATATCTGGTGCTTTGTGTTGCCAACACTGTTTGAACCTAAATCAGTTACCCTAGGATAAACTAACCTAGATGCCTAGATTCGTGGAAAACCTATGGTTTCCCAGAAATCTTTGATTTTCCGCATCAAGGCTTCGATGATCCTAGGGCATACAGAGATCCCCTGATGTGTGCTGATTCAATCATTCAATGGTTGGTTTTCTTCAATTTACCACCCCACACCCACAATGAAAATCACTAATGTGATAACCCAATTGGGTTAACACCAATTCTAGTTATTACACCATTATTAACACCAATAATTATTAATTATTATTAATTACCACCATCTAACAAAGAAATTCCAATTGGTGACAATTGGCGTTGATAATTATTAGATGTACCCTCTATTTATCTCTATTTTAGATGCTGCAAAATGACACCCAAATGGGTTTGTTGTCGGTTTTACCTCAGTGCTGGTCGGCTGGTCACGGTTCTGTCACCCTAAAACTGTGTTTTTTCGTTTTTTCGGAGATCCTCAGCGAGGTCACAGAGTCCTAAGTCTGGTTGGTGGTTCTATATATATATATATATCTGCTTGGTGGTTTGGACCATTTGGATTATTTTCCCATTCAGTTGGGAATGTCAAAATCCCAACTGACTATATCATATTTTTCAGAGGGGGTAGGGTTGAAACCACCAAGCAATATTGATTCGATCCCCACTGTTGATCTCCCATCTTCAAAAGCCACGGCTTAACAATGAAGCAATGGATTTTGCCAAAAAATTGGGCCCACTTTCAAGGCATAGAAACTGAGTCATTCCTAATCAAGTCATTCTCAAATCCGAATTCTTTACGTTCAACCACCATTTCTCTCTACCTAACCTCATCTTCATCAACAAATGCATCTACCGAAGGTGACCTCTAATCACCCAAATCATCCAACGCGGGGATCTTAAAATAGATGCTTGCCAAGTCAGTGTGAACCACAATTCACTATTTGTTCACCCTCTGGTAATTTAACAGTTCGCTATTGAAAATTGCCATTTATAATTTATAGCTGATTTACTAATTGATTTACCCATTAATGGTAATTTTCCAGTTCGCTATGTAAACGTTTACCAGAGAATTTCATGGCAAATATCGATATATCCAACAGATACTAGCTAATGGTAACCATATAACCATGATAACTGGTAGTTTATTATATGTAATCAATGAGAATCAATGGGGATATTCCCTTACATAGCCCTTCGGCCTAAAAAAAATGGTACCTCCAAGACTCCAATCAATCGGTTCCTATGTCGATGGCCAGTAAGGAAATATCCCCACAATTCATATGGCCAAACATATGGTACTAACGTACCTCCATTTTAGGATCCTGAAATTACCATGGCCAGTGATGCAATCACCATGTTTTTTTGGTGAAACAACCAAGGCTTGCCACGGTGCTGTTCTCCGTGACCTTCTTCGCCTGCGTCTTCGCCACGTTCGCCTTCCCGGCGGCGCTGCTCTGCGTGGGCCCTGTGGGGACCAGCTGCGAAGTGCTGCCACAGCTGTGGAAGAGCTACAGCGCGCCAGGTGCAGCAAGGAATTGGCGAAACCATGGCTAAATATATACATGCATATTTATATATAAAAGATAGATAGGTAGATAGATAGAGATAGAGATAGAGATAGTGATATTATACATATATATATATATGGTGATTATATCCTTTGAATAATTGACTTCAAGAGCTGGAAATTTTAATAGTAAAAGGGATTACAATTTTAAAAGTTGTGCTTAGAAACCGAGCAATAGTCATGGTTTATTAATCTGGGCTTGACGTGAATCTTTATTTCATTATAACTTGCTAGTAATGGGTTACCCTCTGGTAAACTAACATAGCTATGGAAAATGGTTCATTTATAGATGGTTTACCTATTAAACATGGTGACTTTCTATAGCAGACTGTTAGTTTACCAGAGGGTAATGGGTTATATCCCTTCATAGCAAGACATTTTGGATGGGTTCTGACCCCCTTCCAATCACCGGTTAAGTAACTCCATCGGCCATAAAAATTTGAGAGGCTCAGCTGTTTTTCACGGCCGATTTCAGTGCTAGACTTTGAATAGTTTTATGCAGCCTAAGTTTGTTTCAGGTACCTAGACTGGGGATACAGGGAAAACATTTTGTTAGGGGGTGGTCCTTATGAAAATCGAAGTTGAAGAAGTACTTGAATGATCATCCCACTTCGTAATTAGTTAATAAGCCTTCGATCGTCCCCTGAGCGGGGGTATTCCTCCAAAGTTCCGGTCAACCTGGGAATGTCGTTGCGTCCCGGCCGTGGGTCGCCAGGGATCCTTTTTGTTGCAACAGGGTTGATGCACAGACCTAGTTACCTAGTTGTTGTGCTGCTCTTATCAGGCCAGATTCATAGTTTTCTGGTCATGAATTACCGGAGAGCAGCTGGATCCGGATGTCCTCAAAAGCACCATGGCTTCAAGCAGTAAACACAGGAGATATTGCCAGCAAAACCTGGATTTTATGAACACCAGATAATGCGTTGAACGATGTAATAAAACTGGTTGGTGGTTTCAAACATTTTTGTTCCATTTCATATATGGGATGTCATCCTTCCCATTTCATATTTTTGAAGATGAGTAGGTATACCACCAACCAGAAAAGAATATAAAAGAAGAGTCCAGTCTAACGACAACGATCTGATAATTCAGATGATTTCGGCAACAAACATTGGGTCACTGGCCCCGCTGGAGATTGAACACTGACCAGAGCAGGGATTTGATACAGTAAAACAAGAGGCAGCACGTAGTCAACAAAAACATGACTTGAAAGATAGGAAGCCACCTACTGGGGTCACCATATACTGTACCATTGATTAATCAAGCATGAGGCTTGAAAGACACAAGGTGAGGGATTGGTGGGGTTGGGGGCACAGGAGGTTGCACACTTGACATTTTACTTGGAACATTTGCTCTTTGGCACTCAGACTTGCTGCAGAAATGAACGCAGTCCATTGGAAATGTTGATGATATATGCGTTGCTTACAAGGTGGTGCCCCAAAGTTAGCCAAGTTGGTTTATAAATCCAAAAACTATGGTTATGGCGGATACATATATATATATAGGTAAAAATCACACACACACATATCTATATATACAATATTTATATACACATCTATAGTCATCTATACGTATAGTTAGTGGGTGTTTTAAAGTGCTATACACAAACTTATAACTGGCGTGCGCCACCGTGATGGAACCTTGTGAGATATTCCGATTTACAGTAATATATTGAAATTCATTGAATTGCCTGGAATATTCCCAGTTATGTATAGGCCACATATGCGTTATATTATATGGTCTTGACAGTTGGTTTCCATTGAAAGCCCTGTAGGCAGCGACGGTCCCGACCATCCTCGCGTGCACAGTGAAGCCGAATGTGTGCAGATGTCATCCAAGTTGGCCAAGAAAATCGTGGTGGAAACCCGGCTGAAGATGCTGCGGTGATTGGTTTTTCGCTGGCTTTTCCAAGTGAATAATCTCCAACTTAAAGACCCCTAAGAAACCCTAAGAAACCCTAAGAAACCCTAAGAATTAGAGGATGAAATCGATGTGTTCTTTATGTCGAGATCCCAAGCTATATTGGGACGTGATCCCGGAGATCTTGAACACCTCGAGATTTCCATGGTGAGGCTACCAGTGAAAAAATAACATATACCCTCTGGTAAACATTAACAAAAAACTATGGAAAACACCATGCTGTGTAGCTGGGTAAATATACCACAATCATTGATATCCACTGAATCAAATAATCAGTCAACCTGTTGCGAAGGTGAATAAACTTGAAAATCCTGTTTCCGAACACCTTTCTCCAGGACGACGGCGTGGCTTCCCACGTCTTCTTGGCTTCCGGCAGCACATCCTCCCTGCCCCGGCGAAGTTCGGATGCAGCGCAGGAGAAGAGGCCTGCCCCGGTGGACGCTAAGGAGCTACTTGGAGGATCATCCCTACTAGGTGGTGCCCCCCCAGGGATGTGAACGTTGGTTTATAAAACATAGAAATAATATGTCAATATATCTACCATAAACCATAGTGAGTCATTGGAGTTATGTTCACCAACTTAGCCAACGAACTGGGGCACCACCTTGTACTTGGGTTAAAAACTGTGGTCGTTCGGGGTTATAACCCAGTACCCAATTATGGAAGCCCAATGGGGACTTGCCACTAGCTTTACCACTGGGATGAGACCCCCAAGGACGCGATGAATTTCAAGTTGGTTTATGACTAGTGGCATCAACATTGGGGTTTAGCCGTTTAGCCCCAATGAAATACGAGGTTGAATATTCAAAATGGAGGGTTTTACCAATTCTGAAAATGGGCACTGTTATCCTTTGTGGTAAGTGGACATATTTACCATCTAGATAGACATGCATGTTCTCTAAGATTGGCCACTTGGAGTCCCATCCAACTGTATGTGCATATACATGTCATTGTGTGCATACGCGAAGGTGTATCCATTGCAAACCCAACACTTAAGCTACAAGGTGGTGCCTTCCCCAGTGATGTGAATGTTGGTTTGTAAACTGGTTCGTAACTAGTTCGTTATATCTACCATAAACCATAGTTATTGGAGTTATGTTCACCAACCTTAATTTCAAACTGGCACACCTTTTGCAGCGCTGCTCTGCAGTGTTCCAAAAAAACAACTCCTACGATCGATGGGCCCAGCGAGCGCAAGACCATCACTTCACCAGGGCTATCTGAAGGGATAGTATGGGTTAGTCACTTTGTCATGACTTATACATACTTATGCGTGGATATAAAGTTATATATAACTACCAATAGTCGAAATATTTATATGCCAACTCATGGAGATTTTCACCCTGGTTATGCCCATCTCAAACCATTTTCATCCCGGTAATGACTTCGCACTCCCGCCCGCGCCTTGGCGTCTCCAGGCCAAGAAAGTCGCAAGATCTTGCGATCACCGTGCTGTGACCGTCGGCGATGCGATGTGAGGATGTGACTTTTAGAGGGATACCCTCTGGTAAACGTTTACATAGCTATTGAAAATGGCCATTTATAGTGAGTTTTCCCATGAAAAATTGTAATTTTCCATAGTTATGTTAGTTTACCAGAGGGTAGTGACATTCTGATTGGTGGTTTGGAACATTTTTCCCCATATATTGGGAATAATCATCCCAACTGACTAATATATTTGTGACATTCAGAGGGGTAGGTCGGGGTAGGTATACCACCAACCAGCGTTTAATGGGATAGTGACTTCGGGGTTTCCTCAAATGGGGGTACCCTAAGAGCTGGATGGTTTACAAAGTTTACACTGGAAAATCCTCTTCAATTAGATGATTTGGGGTCACGTCATTTTAGGAAACCAGCATATCAGTAGGAATACTGATAGAATGGGATGTTGATATAGTGGGATAGGTGACTATTATAAATAATCTGGGATCATTATGGTCATTCTTAGATATTCTTAGTAGGAATATTGTAATATAATGGGGTATGTGCAACTATTGATGATAGCAAATAAATCCCATCCACCGTTCATTGTAAACAGCCCCTAGAAACCAGAGACATAAACGGGGTGTTTCATATGGGATGGGATTGATTAGCGCCATTTTTGCACCCCCACTCACCCTACAAAAGAGATCCATATAGTTTGCCCTGACTTTCAGCCCTGCGTTGGCTCCTGTGACGGCCTGAGTCGCATGGCTTTCAGTGATGCTAAGCACCTGGATGTCATGGAGGTGGTTTGGAACATGGATCCCATGGCATTGGGTTTATCACAGAAAATGTGGGTTATCCTATCTATAAATGGGTTATAACTAAGACATAGCATGTTGTAACTGGTTGGTGGTTTGGAACATGAATGGATTATGACTTTCCATTCAGTTGGGAATGTCATATTCCCAACAATCATCCCAACTGACGATTCGTCATAATTTTCAGAGGGGTAGGCTCAACCACCAACCAGATAATTTTAACCATCATTAACCATATATATAATAACCATATATGTTAACCATTATTTTTCAGAGGGCTAGGCTCAACCACCAACCAGTTGTGAAGTTCTTCGATTTTCTTGGCATTTCGCTGGGTTCACCGGAAAAATGTACCCTCAACGTAGCAGCGTAGCAGTCGGCCGTTGCCTGAAAAAGATCAACATGGGGTCCACGTGACCGGAAGATGAAAGAACAGTAAAAGCGAGGGAATGATGCCTGTATTCACATCGCTGGGACCTTATGAATATGATTTAAGTAGGGGATCATCTTCTCAATGTTGGAAGATCATTGAAGGGTATTTGCTTTTCGGTGGAGAGCAAGTGAATTAGGTGTCAAAAGCAGGCACCAGAAAATGCAGAAGAATTGTGACCTGACCCATCATTAATAAACATATACTGTAAAAAATATTTATTATTGACCTGTATCAACCCATGCTTTATTATTGACGCGTATTAACCCATTTTGGGGATCACTCATCCACTCTTGCCCGACTTGCAACCAACTGACGCCTCCAGCCACCAAACAAAGCGCGGCTGTGAAAAAACGCCATGCCGCGGGGAGCTCCGTTTGGGTAGCTGTTGGCAGCTGAATACCACCCCAAGGTGGTGACTTGTGGTCATTTTGCATCATGGGTATACCTGGTATACCCGTTGTGAACCAGAATTGGGGATGGATTACTGAGTTGACCACATCGGGATATTGTCAGAAAACATGTTGGGCACACACATTGGAATGCCTCAGGGACCGTAAGTCATTGCAACATTCCATAGTTAGTTTAATTCAACGGATTGATTTCTGGGATAATCTTCAGGAAACATCAGGAAACTATGTTTTATTACCTCCATTTTTGTATGAATTTACCCACTTCTTGGCATAAAAGGCTTGTTGTATTTGATTTTAATTTTGAGATCTCCCGCGCCTCCCAGTTGCCAAAAGGCGGCCCTTCCCTTCATTTGGTTTTCACCGAGCATACGCAGGCGAAAGCGACGTCCAAGGCTGCACCAGCCGCCGCATCAGGTAGGAGTGGCGAGCTCGGGGCACAAGGGGCACTTGAAAATCTCCTTTGCATTGAATCCATTGCGATGCTTGATAAGCACGGTTATGGCCCGAATTAGCAATTATAAATGGTGAAATAAATGGCTATTTCTTTGGGATTATACATTCCATAAATGGGGTTTTGTTAGTACTTATAACTGGTAAAGGGCCACAACTGCAGAGAGTAATGTACTCTCTAGAGTGTTGGGTTGAAGCAAGCATCTCGATGGGCGTTTGGGGTCAAAGCGTTTAAGCTTGTGGTTTGAATGCCCCCCGCTGGTGTGACTTGTAATAGGTGTAAGCAGACTCAGCCTTTGGAAGGGGAAGCGTGGTGTGGCGCTTGTTCAGCTTGGGAGAGCCTTGGAAGGGAATTGACAGTTCCCTGGGACCAAGCTGGCTGTCGTGCAGTTGCAGCGGACTTGATTATCAACACTTCTCGGCAGGTTCGTGCCCTGCGATCCCTTGGGGCCGGCATAAGCCGTAGCACCCAGTCTGCTGGCGCAAGCCGTGCAGACTCAGCTGGCAACCGCCGTGCTGAAGGTGACAGCCTAAGCCTTAGTGAAAAGGCCACGAGCTTCACTGCCGAGAAAGAAAGCGCCTCCACCACCACCGCCTTGTCCGGTGCCTAAAGAAGAGGTACGTGAACCGGAAGGTGAAGCTGAGGACGAAGAATCTGAGGAAGAGGAAGAGAGGTCACCTGACCCTTTGGTACGTTCACGAGGGCCTGATCGTGGACAACCACCTCCGGAACCGGAGAACAATCCACCACGCAAAAGAGACCACAAGAGCCGGGAAACCCGATCGGCTGACAAGCGTCGGAGCCGTGATAGGACCCGAGACCGTGGGCGACACAGAGACGAGAGGAGAGGCAGTGACCGCAGAGGATCACATAGGCCCCGACATCGTGCTGGAAAGAAACATCAAAGATTGGGAAGGTTGGCAACAAACCCCCATTTGAGGGTTCATCGAAAGGCTACAGGAGCTTTTCTTGAACTTTCTTCGGTCACTTGCGGCCGAGAGCAGCTGGACCGCCCCATCCTTTATTAGGATGGAGCCCTTGGCTAGTGGTGCTGAGTTCATCATCTCAGACTACGCTTCATGGGAGACTTTTACAACGCAGATTGGAGACGTGATAGAAGTGGACCTACTCACGTCGTCATTGGCGGCACCAGAAGAAGAGTGGGGAGCTTTCATCGTCACCCGGGTGGATCTGGTGTCAGATGGGACGCTGGTTTTGGCCGTGCGTTTATTGGGAAGCACTGCACCTGGTATTACGGCACAGCTCACCGAGAAAATGGGTCTTGGTGGAGGGTATTTGCACCTCTGCCGGACCGACCCTTGCCTGGGAGTAGAAGACGAGCATGTCGGTTTCCTTCATGTGAATCATCTGAGGCGTTGGAGTTTCTCCGATTTCAGTGCCGCTTGCGACTATCTCACAGCCGCGCAGCGCAAGGCGGCAGAGAATTTGCACAAGGAGGCCATTGGAGATGTACCAGAAGCTGCGCCAAAGAGACAGGCAAGACGCCCCGCCAAACCAAAGGATCCAAAAGCACCGAAAAAGACACCAAAAGCGGCCCCCAAAGGAAGAGGAGATCCCCTTTCTCAACTGGTTCGTAACAAAGCAGTTCCCGAATGGATGGTAGGTATTTTCAACAGTGCACGACAACAGTCGAGATTTTGGTGGCATGTGTACTTGGATAACTTTGCGTTAGGACAAGTAGTTGGGGCAGATGATGAGACCGCTGCGGGTTATCAAGCACACGCGCTGGCTGAGCAAGCGTGGACAGAGGCTGGCGTATTGAGCTCTGCAAAGAAAAGACGTGAAGGGGTCTCAAGTGTTCTTGAATTAGGAGCCTTCATTGATGGAGATGGTAAATATATTGGAGGGTCACCGGAACGATTTTTAAAATTTGCACATGCAACCTGTTGGCTTCTGGAACAGCCACTACTATCGAAACGGTTGGTACAAGTAGTGGCAGGCAGATGGGTACACGTGATGCAGTTCAGACGACCCACAATGGGCTTCTTGGACAAGACTTGGGAGTTTATAGGTAGGAAGTTGTGGAAGCATGGGATTCGTCAAGAAGTACGCAATGAACTGTTTCAATGCATGCTGTGCATTCCACTTATGCATACGCATTTGGGAGCCACTATCAGGGAGGTGATCACAGCTTCTGACGCTTCATCGGTTGGTGGGGCGGTCGGAGTTGCAAACACTTTGACGGAGCAAGGGAAGGATTATGTGCAGTCTTCTCTTATCAACCAACAGCAGCCAAAGCAGATCCCCGTGATGGTCATATCTCTTTTTGGAGGCATAGGTGGTGCCTTTCGTACGTATGATATATTGGGAGTACAACCAGTGGCACTTGTGCACTTTGATTTACACCGACCTGCCAACAGGATAGTATCCAGAAGATGGCCACATTGCGAAATTTTTGGAGATGTGAAAACTTTCACTAGGGAATTATATCAAGACCTTTTAGCCAGGCATTTGAACATATCTGAAGTTCATGTATGGGCCGGTTTCCCATGCACAGATCTATCAGCAGCTAAAGCATTTGGAGAAGGATTAGCCGGTCCAGCTTCATCATTATTTTTCGAAGTTAAAAGAATTCGAAAGATTGTTGTTGAGGAGTCTGGCGGACACATCACTTGCAAGTTCACAGTGGAAAATGTGGCTTCAATGAAACGAGAAGAATGTGATACCATCTCAAGACACCTGGGGCTACAGCCATATTTTCTGGATTGTGCTGATGCGGTGCCGATGCACCGACCGCGGCTGTGTTGGACCACGGAAGTACTGGAGAATACCTGTGATGATGTGTTCATTTACCCCGAGCAAAGATGGCGTAGGGTAGAAGCCAAGGCAGACTACCCTGAAAAGGAAAGTTGGATTGAGCCGGGAGTTACCTGGCCTGGAGGTGAGCGCGGAAACATATTACCAACCGCTATGAAGGCCATCGTGCGGGTCCGGCCACCAATCCGGCCTGCGGGGATCGAAAAATGTGATCAAGCAACGCTCCAGCGTTACCAGGCAGACTCTTTCAGATTTCCTCCTTATCAATACAAGGAAGGATATATCTTTTATACTGCTCACGGGAGTTGGAGAACTATTTCCTCAGAGGAAAAAGAAGCTCCTGGGGTATGGTTGGAAACATACTGCATTGTGTTCAAGTGCCAGCGAAATCAAGCAATCTTACCAAGCGTATGAAGATACGCGCCAATCGCTTCTTGGCGATTCTTTCTCCATCTTTTCCTTTGTCATCCCTGCAGCAGCGATGTGCAGACAATTCTTGCCGCGGCTATCGTATAGGTGGCTGTGTAAAAGAATGTGGATGGCACCGGGATTTTGTGCAAATTTGCGTTTGGCTTGTCCACTTCAAAGATGTTTGGTATATGGGACAAGCGGTCATGGTGGTGACGTCACTTTGACGTCTTTAAATAAACTTTTACTGTCCAGGACAAATCACACCGGATCTGATGTGAGAATCACAACGGGACAGGTTTTAAACCCCAAAGCTCACCCTCGACAAGAGGTTGAGTCAAACTGGTTTCAATGGCAGCCTTGTTTTCAAGTGAAATGGAAACTGAAGGAACATATAAATATCCTTGAATTACGAAGCATTTTCTTGGCCGTGCAATATCACGTTAGTCATTTGCAATCATCTGGATGTCGGATTGTGCACCTCAGTGATTCTTATGTTTGCATTTCCATTGCCAGCAAGGGTCGGTCAGCCAGCAAACAACTCATGAAGACCCTGCGAAAACTAAACGCTTTCTTGCTTGCACATGGTATCATGTTGATTTTGGCTCATGTTGAAAGCACTTCAAATCCCACGGATGGCGCGAGCCGTCAAGTGGCAGTTCGTCGCCAAACGCAGCCGGGCTGAACGTATTGCTCAGCGTCGAAATGTGATTCTCAGAGACGCCGGGATTACAAAGAAGACTCAAGAACGATATTTTTGGGCTTTATCACTTCTTCTCCCATTCCTAGCAGAAGTCACCTCCACTATTGGCCTGGATGAACAAACTTGTGAGTGGATCCAATCTTCTTGGGAGAAAGGGGAAGCCTTGCACATTATTTCAGATGGTTTGTGTGGCCTGCATCATTTTGAACCATGGACGCGCCGTTTGGTGCCAATGGCCTGGAAAATGTTTGCTACATGGAAGAAATTAGAATCGCCCGATCGGGCACCACCTCTCACGATTACCATCATTTATGCTTGGACAAATTATGCACTGGCTCATAATCAAATAATTTTTGCAGCGCTTTTGTGCCTTGGTTTCTTTGGACTTTTACGCACTGGAGAGATCCTTCAAGTTACTGCTGCTGATATCTTGACTGGAAAGGAACAAGCAATTATCAGCCTTCCACACACAAAAACTGGACAACGTGAGAAGGTACAAGAAATGGTAGTGGTCGAAGATTTTATTACCATTCAGATTTTAGCCACTGTCAAAGAGTTGCAACAGCGTGCTTCTTTGGAGAAAACGCCTTTGTGGCCTCACAGTGCAGAAGCTTTCCGCAACCAATTCAAGCGGTATTGCAAACGATTTGGTCTCTTACCTCATAAATTTAGACCCTATTCGCTCAGACGTGGCGGAGCAACCTGGGTGTTTCAATGTTCTGGATCTATGGAGACGGCATTGGTAAAAGGACGCTGGGGCTCGAGCCGAGTTGCCCGCATATATATCGCCGATGCCTTAAGCTACCTGCCTGGACAGACCTTTAGGTCAGAATCAAAAGAGATGTTACATAGATGGTCCTTTGAACATACGCATTTGTGATTTTATGGTCGCCTCGCCGACAAGTCTGCAAGTCGAGCTGAGGGGTCGCGGAGATGAAAGAATTTCTTTTGAGATGAGATGTGAATTTAATTCTTTTTCAGGTGATTTGCAAATCCCTACCATGGGAAAACTCGATGTGCGAAATCCTTCCATATACCGTATACCGGTTCCTACCATGGAACAAGAAATTTTGAGATGTAAATGTTCCTACCATGGAACCAATTTGAATGAAAGCAAGCAATGGGCCGAATTTTTCCCCATTGCTTTCAAAAGCTTATTGTCACACGCCAGAGAGAAAAGGCGCTGACTGAAACCCATGTACTCTCTAGAGTGTTGGGTTGAAGCAAGCATCTCGATGGGCGTTTGGGGTCAAAGCGTTTAAGCTTGTGCCCACAGCCACCCTCCCAAAGGGAGATGAAAGAATTTCTTTTGAGATGAGATGTGAATTTAATTCTTTTTCAGGTGATTTGCAAATCCCTACCATGGGAAAACTCGATGTGCGAAATCCTTCCATATACCGTATACCGGTTCCTACCATGGAACAAGAAATTTTGAGATGTAAATGTTCCTACCATGGAACCAATTTGAATGAAAGCAAGCAATGGGCCGAATTTTTCCCCATTGCTTTCAAAAGCTTATTGTCACACGCCAGAGAGAAAAGGCGCTGACTGAAACCCAATCATTTTGACTTTCTAGGGGTCCCCACTTTGCAGGGTTTTTATCGGATATTATCAATGAGATATACTGATATACCTGACCATAATATGGATAAAATTGATCGAATTACCGTATCCTTCGATAAAAGGGACTTAGGAGTGCAGTTCCACTTACCAGTGGATATAAAACCATAGTTACGCAATGGGATGTTATGGGTGTTTATAACGAGGTTGTAGCAATTTGTAGTCTCAACTGTGCCGGCCCCCTCGCTGGATTCGAATGATGCCGGTGTATTAAAGATATTAATGCGGATATACATAACAGTAATGTAGGTATAATGGGAATATTTAGGAAATTATTAGGAATATATTATATATATTGGAACTAATGGTGTGCCCGGGGAAAATTATAGCGACCACATTTTGACGGAAACCGCCTCGCTTGTGCTTGTGGATTTGTCTCGCTTGTGACCGGTAGCCCCTTTCCACTCCAGCTACAAAAACCCCACATGGTTGTTTTTCAATGTCCCTGTTGTTGCCTGTGTGCATCATGTTGCTGCATGCCCCCATGTCCCTCCCTAATCCTCCCTGGTCCCCAAGTCCCCTAAAAGTAGGCCCTAAATGTTTCTTTTTGCCACATAAAAGTATGTTCAGGTCAATCTGGGCGCAAGTGAGTCGTTTCTATGGGCTGGTCACATTTTGACCTCCCAGTAGATTATGGTTACTATAGGGAAATCATCACTAAATGCCATTACATCTGTTTTTTGAAATATTGTGATGTTTCCCAGATAGCTGACTTAAGTACAAGGTGCTGCTTTAAAGCTAGCTAATTCATTTATGACTAGCTTAGCAAGGTGTCATTGTGATTTAAGTATAGCTCGGTGGATTATATAATACATCGTCAAATTGGCAATTGAATTGCCCATTATTCTTGGCAAACTGGAACAACACCTACGATGTCAACAAAAATCATGTTTAGTAAGAGTCATCTTCCCATTTTTGAACTTATCGCAATTTGCCCCAGATCATTGCCTCATATTTTGTTGATTCAGTCGGACATGTCATTTTGTTTTATGGGGATCCTACCAACAATTTTTAGTATGGACAATGATGCTGGTTTTAGCACCACATATCCCATAGGATCCATGTATGCTATATATGGTAACATTTACCATCAATATACCCCCTTTATGTTAGCATACATACCAGCACCATGGATCCGTCATGGGATTTGGATACAAACCGCGAATTTGGCTCAAAAATTCTGCAGAGGTATCTGGTCCCCCCATAAGCTGGTTCCCCCCAGCGTCAACTATAGACTGCAGATGGGAAATTCACATCTTCCATGAAGCCAGTTTTGCATTCGCCTACTGTACACCGTTTGCGAAACTGTTTAGGACCTCACCAGGTCATTCACCTGCAGGCGCAGCGGGTGTAGCGGCGACTTCCCCAGCACCGCCCTCACCCAAGAGCAAGGCGGTTGGGGGATCTTGGAGTGCGTTTGGGGTGGTTTAACTCTTGCTATTATTGTCGGTACCGTTGTGTTCAGATCATGTGGTCATCACTTATTTTTTTGTCGAGGCATCTAGGTGTTCTTTCAATAACTAAAAACGTCGTGAATTCAACACCTAGATAGATACAAACAGCAAAATCCTATAATTCAGGATTCTACAGCTGTTTTTCTCTTTTTTCGTTTGGGTTGACATTGGGCCGATCCTTCGGAAGCCTAAAAAAATCCCGGAAATTTGGATCCTGTTATCCTGTTCCTGTCCGTGAACTTGGAAGGCCCAAAGATGCAGATCATAGCAGCAACAAAAGCATGCATTTATCATTGGTTTAAGGGATTTTTTAACAGGAAACCCCGATATATATATATATATACACACACACACATATATATATATATAATGGTCAAAACTATGGTTTCCGGTTAAGATTTCCCCAAGAAAACCAATCTAATGAATTTAGAAAACAATCCTTAGGACGTTGAGTCGCGGGGGTATCGCCTAAAAAGTGCCTATGCACATCTCATGTTTGATTTGCTTGTCGAATCTCAACTATCACGGTGGCAGTGCAATTTCTTGGGTTTCCCTGTTTGAGTAGTCAGTATCTTGGTTTGAGCATGTTACCCTCTGGTAAACTAACATAGCTATGGAAAATGGTCCATTTATAGATGGTTTACCCATTAAAAATTGTGATTTTCCATAGTTATGTTAGTTTACCAAGAGGGTAGAGTATATGTACACTACAATTCTAGACATTAATCAGTCCTTCAGTTTGACTCTCTTTGTCCATACCCAAACCGAAGCTATCACCAGCGACGGGTCCAGCGTTGGCTGCCGCGCCAGTGGGACCACCATATCAAACACCAAAGTGTCACGACAAACTGCCTGGAACCTCAAATGAGAGCAACCCCATCCTCATCCGCATGGGAACATGTCAAAATCAAAAAATCAGTAGCGAAGTTATGTCAACTAATTGTCATGTTCAAATCCACCATTTGGATCCATTTATGGATTTAGAGCCTCGATCTTTATCCCATTTTTTCTGCTTCCCATGCCGTGGCGTGGCTATGCCGAGCCCCTCTCAAGCCCTCCCACCGTTCCATCACCCCCAGTGGCGCAGCGCCGCGCCACCGAAACGGCGGCGGGAACGGCATCGCCGGGCGGCCGAGTGCTGTGGCTGCTGGGAAGTCGGTGTGTAGCTGGGCTGGAAAATTGTTGGGATTTCCTGATCAAAAATAGGAGCAAAAATGGTGATCAAACCAAGTCAATCGTGTGGGCGAGACAGGGAAGTTTTTCAGAAATCATGGGGTAGACAGGTCACACGGTTTTTTTTTGGCCTACAGATGTTATTTTCCAGATGGATTTATGGATGGATACAGGTAATGGACGGATTCAATGATGATTTCAGGTCACCTCAGTGATCAGTCAACCGGGATTGCGGTAGGCCAAATAGGTGCCATGGTCCTGGCCAAAGGCTGTCCTAAGGGAGAGGGTCTGTGAAAACATGTTTCCAAATGACTAAAATTTAGCAAAATCTATGCAAGTCCTGTCCCTAATCTTAATACATTGCCCAAATAGCTCCCTAGAAACCTTGGTTCTGAATTGGATCTATTCATGTGGAGCAGCCGGTTATAAGCTGGTGCAGATTGGTGCAGGATCATTGCAAACCGAGTAATGCAAAAACACATGTTTCCAGCATGGTGCGTAGATTCCGTAGATGATGTTTTCCCCATACTTTCCAGGCTTCCAACGTTTCTATCTGCTGAGGGGTTGCTTTTGGGGAATGGGATGGAATGGGATGGAGTGGGGGTACCAGGTTGCGACATTGTGCGCTCGAATTACAAGTTGGTTTATAACCGCCATCACCAAATTCGAAATCTTTCAAAAAATAATTTAATCATAGTTGACCTACTTACAAAAGCTAACTTTTAACCTAGCTAACATAATCAACCATAAATCAACCATAAACTTAAATCACCATTTTTGTCGATTAAAACCACCATTTTTTATAGGGCACTGGCAGGTTGAGCTGCTGCTGCCCTCCGGCCGCGTTCGAACTATCAGCCACACTGGCGCTGGGCTCAACGGGCTCAACGTTCCGGCGGGCTCCAGGGCGGTGGCGGATCCCAAACGACCTGGGCAGTTGCAACTTGAAGCAATGGCAGGGAAAAGGGGGAATCTGGTTGGTGGTTTGGAACATGTTTTTTATGGGAATCTATGGGAATCTATGGGAATCTATGGGAATCTATGGGAAACTATGGGAATCTATGGGAAACTATGGGAAACTATGGGAAACTATCTATGGGAATCTATGGGAATCTATGGGAATCTATGGGAATCTATGGGAATCTATGGGAATCTATGGGAAAGTATGGGAATCTATGGGCATCTATGGGAATCTATGGGAAACTATGGGCATCTATGGGAAACTATGGGAATCTATGGGAAACTATGGGAAACTATGGGAATCTATGGGAATCTATGGGAATCTATGGGAATCTATGGGCATCTATGGGAATCTAGAACCTATGGGAATCTATGGGAAACTATGGGAATCTATGGGAATCTATGGGAATCTATGGGAATCTATGGGAAACTATGGGAAACTATGGGAATCTATGGGAATCTATGGGAAACTATGGGAAACTATGGGAAACTATGGGAATCTATGGGAATCTATGGGAATCTATGGGAAACTATGGGAATCTATGGGAATCTATGGGAATCTATGGGAATCTATGGGAATCTGTGGGAAACTACGGGAATCTATGGGAATCTATGGGAATCTATGGGAAACTATGGGAATCTATGGGAATCTATGGGAATCTATGGGAATCTATGGGAAACTATGGGAATCTATGGGAATCTATGGGAATCTATGGGAATCTATGGGAATCTATGGGAAACTATGGGAATCTATGGGAAACTATGGGAAACTATGGGAAACTATCGGAAACTATGGGAATCTATGGGAATCTATGGGAATCTATGGGAATCTATGGGAATCTATGGGAATCTATGGGAAAGTATGGGAATCTATGGGCATCTATGGGAATCTATGGGAAACTATGGGCATCTATGGGAAACTATGGGAATCTATGGGAAACTATGGGAAACTATGGGAATCTATGGGAATCTATGGGAATCTATGGGAATCTATGGGCATCTATGGGAACTCTATGGGAATCTATGGGAAACTATGGGAATCTATGGGAATCTATGGGAATCTATGGGAATCTATGGGAAACTATGGGAAACTATGGGAATCTATGGGAATCTATGGGAAACTATGGGACTATCTATGGGAATCTATGGGAATCTATGGGAATCTATGGGAAACTATGGGAATCTATGGGAATCTATGGGAATCTATGGGAATCTATGGGAAACTATGGGAATCTATGGGAATCTATGGGAATCTATGGGAATCTATGGGAAACTATGGGAATCTATGGGAATCTATGGGAATCTATGGGAAACTATGGGAATCTATGGGAATCTATGGGAATCTATGGGAATCTATGGGAAACTATGGGAAACTATGGGAATCTATGGGAATCTATGGGAATCTATGGGAATCTATGGGACTCTATGGGAATCTATGGGACTCTATGGGAATCTATGGGAAACTATGGGAAACTATGGGAACCTATGGGAATCTATGGGAATCTGTTTTGTAGGATTACAATGGGAATAATTTGGAATAATATGGAGTTACACCTACTGGATGATCATCAACCACAGGAGGAATGAGGGGTCAACAGAGAGATCAAATGATTATTTCTGGTTGGTGGTTTGGTTTCCATGGCTTTTATGACTTTCCTTATGTTGGGAATGTCATAATCCCAACTGACGAACTCATATTTTTCAGAGGGGTAGGTATACAACCAACCAGGAATAATATGGAATAATATGATTTTATTGCAAAATAAACAAAGGAATACTATATAGGTTACACATGTAAGTTGCATTTTGATTGGCAAACCTTAAAATCTGTTGGATCATATCCCAGTGGCAGTCATTGTCCCATATCCTTTTCATTTCCAGTATCATGACACCGTAGCCTCAGCATATTTGCTCTCTAGGTCTCTGTTGCAAAACAAGAACATTATATGATATATAGTGGCATTGTTTTCTATCTACATCTCTCTGCCAATCTCTTCATCCACCCACCACCCACCCACCCACCCATCCATCCATCCATCCATCCATCCATCCAGTTCCAAGAATGAATTTCACATTAGTTTCCTCGGGCTCGCCCTTAAAGGTACTTGCTGGAAAATGGCAGTTCCACCCTCTGGAGCTACGATTGCGCTTCAGGGCGGGCGGAGTCGTTAACACCTGGAGCAGAAGCCACGCGATTTCGGTGCGCGGGATGGGGAAAATGGGTGAGGGGGAAACCTACTTGGAGTATCATGCCCCGGATCCTAACTGGTTCGTTTTTCTATGGATTTTGTGGGGGTCTAACCCGCTCATACATGGCATAACCCAGCTTCCTGGTCCTCAAAAAAAATTGGATGCGCATCTTGGCATGCAGAATTTCAATGAATTTCAGCAATGGTCCTAACCCACCTAGTTGATCTCAACTATAGATTATTCTCCTTGGTAATTTCACACAGCCATAGAAAAAACAACACCATTAGTATACTGTAGATAAATGTATATAGCCTATCATCAATATCATCAATATCATCAATGTATATAGCCTATATAATATAGGTAAATCATCAATATCATCAATCCATTTTCCATTTTCCATAGCTATTTTAGTTTACTGAGTTTACTGGCCGAGACCCCATTCAGAACATGATTAGCTCGCTCCTCGCACGAAAAAAACATGGGAATTTCGCCCCCAAAGGCGACCTAGTGATGGAACGTTGGTTAACAACAACCCTAGGAATAGTTTAGATTAATATCTACCTAGGAATAGTTTAGATTAATATCTACCATAGTTGCCATAGTGAGTTATTGGAGTTATGTGGCCCCCAACTGAATGCGATTCCGAACTGGGGCACCACCTTGTATCAGCGGTTGTCAGTGGTTCATCAGCCTTTGATGAAGCCTTCTTATCTTACTGGTGCGTGCTATTCGTAGGGTTGCTGGATGGATTGGGAATGGGATTGCTGGGATGATGAAATTACTAGTGATGAAATGGATCATTCCCGAAAATTCCCTGCGTTTATATAGCACCAGTAAATCCTTGGAGTTGGTGAAATCACTTGCTAGCTCTGATGCACGTCCAAGTTGAAGGAAAGAGATAGTTGCTCGGCAATGGCAGGTTTTTTTTTTGGGATCATCAAACGCTGAGCCTCAAAGCTTCCCACATGTCTGGTTTCATGTGGTTCCTCCCGTTCTACTGAGAATGAGGAAAACCTAAATTTGGAAGTGGATCATTTACCATGTTTGAGGTTATATACCATGTGTTCTTCCCGCAAAACTGCAACATCACCTCTTTTCAAGTTTCTTGTTGTGGGCTACCTGGGGCAACCTTGGCTTTGTCGTTCAACGTGTTTATTGCCTGATAATTACAATAGATGGTACCACTGAAAAAAATGTCAATCAAATTCAATCAAGGTTTTTTCCCCTCTGCAAACGGAGAAACATATCCAAGTGAAACATATTTAACAATTAATTAGTGAATGAGTGTTTTTTTGTTTTGTACAAAACACTTGTTCATTGCAGGGGACTTAAAACTGTCTGAGGGCTGGTGTCCCCAGCCTCCCAACCTCCCCGCTCCAGATCCTCGTTGGGTTCCCGCTTTGTGCTCTGTGGGCGCCGGCTGCTTGTGACGGGAACGCCCAATCAAGGGGCGCATAGTCCGTGGATCTTTGATCTCAACGCACCTGGGCAGAGTGGGGGAGCGGATTGCCACGCAGAATCTGAGAGTTTTTGTGTCCGTGACTGAGTTTTATGTGTTTTTTGTTGGCCGGACATGGGGTTATATGATATATCATGAGAAGTGAACATCATACTTTTGCTGGGTATCTAAACCAACAGCGGCCACGTAGAGTCAAGAACATGCCGGAATAGAAACCACCACTACTCTGCTATTAACCCCGCATTCTCTGGCCATCCAACAGTTTTTCCATTTGCACTTGGTCAATTCTACATAATTCTACATGCATTCGTTCTGCAAGAAAATTTTGCACATATTTTTATATGTGCATTAAATATATGAGTCACGGTGAAAATGGTTGAAGACCACTTTAGTATTGCAGGAGTTTTTTGTCAGAGATGTGCACAAAGCACTGTAAAGCGATAGCCCCCCCCAAAAGCGATAACCTTTGACCACACACGACAGTCCATTAAACTTGGCGTAAGCCAAGCAGATACTGTTGCGCGCATTCACAGAACGGGCAAAACCGATGATGGAAATTCAACCTGTGGTGCCCTGTTTCCTGCAGTTACCATCATTCGGCATCCAACTCGCTTGCTCTCTCTCTCTCTCTCTTTCTCGCTCGTTTTTTCCTCTCGCTCTCTCTCTCTCTCTCTCTCTGTCTCTCTGTCTGTCGTTTTCGTGAAAAAAAATCTGTCGAACAATGTCATATGTTGGAGGGGATTTGGAGAGGTTATTTAGCGATAACCATTTGTTGCACTCGGTCCCCTGGCCAAGCAATAGAACCATTTCCATAACTTCAGAAAGGAGATGAAAGGACATGAAAGCAAAATGAAAGGAAAATGCATGCAAATGAAAGGAAAATGAAAGGACATGAATGCACATTGGAATGAACATGAAAGGACTGTGACTATGAAGGAAAATGAAGGGAAATTACAAATGAAACGAACATGAAAGGAAAATGAAGGGAAATGATTACAACATGAAAGGAAGATGAATGCACATGAAAGGAAAATCAAGGAAGATGCATGCAAACGAATGCAAAATGAAAGGAACATGAAGTGTTTTTCGAAGCACCTGAAACCAACAAAACAACTCCTGGGTCGATCATCGATCCATTTCCGAGCCTGCTTAGGAATGGATTTTGGCTTCATGTTGGATCTCGAATATGCTGATTTCCACAAAACCCTGGAAAGCGATAGGGACTCCCAAAAGCGATAACCATTAGCAACTACTTAGATGTAAAAGATTTTGACGGGAGCTCATATGTATATGTATATCTATATCTATACACACACATACATATATATATATATGATATAATATTTATTTCTATTTATATTTGTATATTTATATTTATATCCATAAATTCATGTGATAATTCCTAAGCATAATACTGTGTGCATTTGTGCATTTGTAATTTTTTTACAGTCACACCACATGATAAGTTTGGTATCCCTCGGCCACCCGGCTGCCCAAGGCCCAAAAATGGAGCCGTCTGCCTGACGCTCCCTGCGCCATCCTCTCCAGTGCCGTCGCAGTGGACGACGACGACGCGGCCATTTGCATCCTGGGTGGCTGGAGCAAGATGCAGCGTGGCGACCCCTGTGTTCCCCTAGGGAACCCCTGGAAAACCTACAGGGATACCCTCTGGTAAACGTTTACAGTTTGCTATTGAAGCCGTGGCCATCAAAGTTTACCCATTAAAAACGGTGATTTCCCATAGTTTACCTATCAAAAATGGGTATTTTCCAGTTCGTTGTCTAAACGTTTACCAGAGGGTACCCTTCTTGAAGGATTTCCCGGCGCACCTGGCTCGGACTGTGGGAACTACACATTGTTATATACCCTCTGGTAAACGTTTAAATAACGAACTGGAAAATCTTCCATTTTTGATAGGTAAAGTATGGAAAATCCCAATGTTTAATGGGTAAACTATGGAAAATCCCAATTTTTAATGGGTAAAATCACCATGTTTAATGGGAAAACTCACTATAAATGGCCATGTTCAATAGCAAACTGTAAACGTTAAACAGAGGGTAGTTAGGAGCCAGTTACACATATAGGAATTTGGAAACCTTGAAACACATGGAAAGTACATGAAAGTAACAAAAAATACAGATCAAACATTTGGATTTAAGTGGTTATGTTCTTTGGTTATCAGTTATATGGGAATGGAAAAACTTCAAACATATTCAAACATGGGATGTCACCGTTCAGATCCGGGATTTCAATACCGAAGCTTAATAGAATCTAGCCATTGACAATAGAGTGTACCGTTTGAATGGACATATTTTGTTTTGGAAAGGCATGTCACCTACAAATGGAGGTAAACATGAATTTTCCATTGACATATTGATTGCTGGAGTTTTACCTGCTTTGAACGGTGATACGTTGGATTTGAATATCTTATATACAGTCAACATGGCAAAGCAAGGGCACTTCCAAACACCTGAGACAGCCAAAAAAGAAGGAACATAATTTTTGTACTGTCCCAGGGCCTAGGGTGCCTTTAAACCAAGCATGCGACTGTCTAATCTAGTTGGCGCTTGATTGATGTACTTCCGTTGGGTCACGCAGCCTCTCGATCATATTCCCCACCTGCCAGGTGAGGGTTGCTAGATTTTATCAGAGCTGTTGTCCTCCTCCTCCTCCGCCTCTGGACCTCAACCTGGGACCTTCCCAGCTCAGTGTGCACCGCTGGACCTCAACCTGGGACCTTCCCAGCTCATTGTGCACCGCTGGACCTCAACCTGGGACCTGCCCAGCTCAGTGTGCACCGCTGGACCTCAACCTGGGACCTTCCCAGCTCAGTGCGCACCGCTGGACCTCAACGGCCAGATAGAATGCCACAAGATATGTCAGATAGAATGCCAGATGGAATGCCGGATAGAATGCCAGAACATATGCCAGAAGATATGCCAGGTAGAATGCCAGAAGATATGCCAGATAGAATGCCAGATCGAATGCCAGAAGATATGTCAGATAGAATGCCAGAAGATTTGCCAGTAACAAATCGATAAATGTCATGGTGGGGATCACACGTATTTCAATCTTTCTGGTGGAACGAATCAAACACTTTTTGTGTAGGTTATGATCATTCTAAGCTTTCTCCCGTAAACCGTCCGAAGGTGAAGAAGGGGATATGGCTCAAAATATCTCACCAACGAAGCCATTCATTCTCGCTGCTGCTTGCATCCCTATTCAGCGAGTGGGTGTCGAAATCTCCCCGCGATGTCCTCAACGCAAAGCGTTACAAGATTGGCTATTTATTAAGTACACACACATATATATATATATATAACTACACACACACATATATATATACATACATATGTATCGCTATATAACTCATAGCTAGGTCTGGGATGTCTTGGAATTTCGATGATTTGAGCACTTCTCAAGGCAAAGTTGCCACGGCTATTTGCAACGCTTGTCTTTGAAGGGCCGTGATGGATGGCAAGTGTCCTCTGGGCAAGTTCCCTGGAGACGTCCAGGTGGCTGATGTCTTTTGTTGTTGTTTGTTTGGGTCTACCCTCTGGTAAACGTTTACATAGCTATGGAAAATCACTATGTTCATAGGTAAATCAAGTTTAATGATGCTATTTTCTATAGCTATGTGAGTTTACCAGAGGGCAAATGGGGATGTAGACCAACAAATGCTACCCATGGCAGCTATTTGTTTGGTGGTGTCTAAGATTGGCCATGTTGAGTGGGAACTGGGTGAACAAGTCTTCACAACCGAGACCGAGGGAAAGAATGGGTCCTACTTTTTTCAAGTGGTGCTTGTGTGGAAGCATGTTTGCCCCGCTGAAGTTTGACAAGCAAACTGAATTTTGTCCGACGTCCATTTCCCACAGGGACAACAGACAATAACCCCATTGTTTTTTTTCCCAATGTCTAGGTCGACCTTAGAGGGGCACTTTAATCCTTTAGTCTTTTGGTATCATTGGGATTATCTACGTTTACCAGCTAAGATTTTTTATTTTTTTTGCAGGGTGCCTAAGATTGGCACTGATATTGTAGATCAAGTTGCAGAAGTTTTCAGATCAAACCTAGGGACCTTGCCATCCCAATTTCATGAAACAATTCGTGTGCCATTTCATGTAACGTCATTTTTGTGGACAATGTACCATCTGGTTATGACTAACATAGCCATGGTATAGATGGCCCCAATCGAAATAGATGGTATATACCTAGCTACATAGCATGGTGGATTTTTCCATGGCAAACTGACAATGTCATAACCAGATGCTACGCCGTAGCGGTACGCCGCACACCGCATCTCCTGACCTCACCATGGAGGTGCAGCTACCACCTTAGCAGATGGACGAATCGTGGTGGGTTTCGGATGGATGGCACCTCAGCAGCGAGCATAGCGAGCTGAGTTTCTGCTGAGTTTCTGGTGAATCATCGCCTGAATGGTCAATTCTTGGGGGGGTACCCTCTGGATATGATAGCCATGGAAAATCCCTTATAAATGGAGGTTTCTAGCTGGGAAAATCATCTATAAATGGGCTATTTTCCATGGCTATGTTAAATAACCTGAGTGTAATTTTTTTTGGGGGTAATTCTTCGACATTTGGATGGGAAACGAATGAGCATAGGCTAACCAGCGGGAAGAAAAACTTGGAGGATAATTCGCCAAGAGCCATGTGGAGTGATGGCTACAGGGTGGCTGCAAACCACTCATAACCAATTTTCCCATGGGACCCTTCATCTATTTCCTAACCTGGTCGCTTGCAGGTTCACACGCGATGGTAACGTGTTAATCTCCTTGGTCTATCAGATAAGTCATGATTTATCCAACTGATAGCTGGGTTCAAACCATATTTCTGCAACAGTCTCTAATCTCCCTATTTTTGCTCAATTATTATCTCAGTCGATTTTGTTGAAGTTCTTGAGCTCCCAATTGGTCAATTATTTCACTAAACAGTTAAAGGCTTATGTGAAGAAAAACTGACGCAAATGTTGTAGTTATGTCATGTCAGTTGTAATCCTTGAACTCCAACGTGTGTCTTAGTCACCGGTTTCTCTTTTCTGAAAAACCAACTTCTAAAGGGGATAACCCACTCACCCGGGATGGCCCTATAGTTTGTAGTTAGGGGACATGGTGTAGTCAATGGGAATTTCAGGACCCTAAAATGGAGGTACTGTACCATATAAGGCCATATTTTGTGGGGATATTCTCTTACATAGGCCTGAAAAATAGGCCTTATATATGGTATGTACCTCCAATCAATCGGTTCCTGAAACGGCCATTGATGTAACCAGGGTTACTAACCAATTGCCAGTTGGATGATCTGGATGATCCATTGGTCGCTGGGAGTCCAGGAATGTGCTTCCGCTGCACCCGTGGGCAGCCGTGACTTCAAGCTGCTGCGCCGCAACGGTGGGGCGCAGCAAGCCGAGACCTCGGCGTCGCGCTTGGTGGCCATGCGAATGGAGGGGAGCCTTGCGACGTCCAAAAAAAAAGGCGGTCCAAATTGGTGCCCTGAAAAATGGATGGTTAATATATGTTAATATGAAACTGGTTGGTTGTTTGGAACCATGGAATTTTATGACTTTCCATTCAGTTGGGAATGTCATAATCCCAACTGACTATATCATATTTTTTCAGAGGGGTAGGTATACCACCAAGCAGGAAAAAGATGCCAAATTGGTGGGTTTAACGGGTAAAATTGGAATGGCCATGGATGAAAAACGAGACAAGAGGGATTTTTAACCAGCAAAACCATTGATGTCATCAAGAAACAGCGATCAATTACCCTCTGGTAAATTAACATAACTATGGAAAATCACAATTTTCAATGGGTAAATCCATTATAAATGGCCATTTTCAATAGCTATGTTAAATTACCAAAGGGTATTTGTAGAAAAGATCGGCAAGGTGAAGAAGGTCAAGGGTTCTGGGCGAACGGTGAAATAGATGAGGACACTAAAACACTTGTGCAGTGTATTCAAGATTAGCCGGCGTAGGAATTCAGACACATCAACATGTCGTGTTTAACACATCAACGCGTATATACCCTCTGGTAATTTAACATAGCTATTGAAAATTGCCATTTATAGTGTATTTACCCATTGAAACTGGTGATTTTCCATAGTTATGTTAGTTTACCAGAGGGTAGTTGGAGAAAAATGGACTAAGGACCTCACGTTACGACCTAACTGTACACGGGCTTTAAATGGGGCTTGGGCAGCTGATCCTGTGGCTTCGGTATTGGCTGAGGAAACTGCAAGTGGAAGAATTGTCAACGCTTCCCTTGAGCGTTTCGTGGAAAAATGTGGAAACATGATGCAGTTATGGCCATTAACAGTTGCAAATGGAATTATAATTCCTATAAATAAGGCCTGGTTATACATCATTATAAGCCCATTTATAACTGTTGAGGGCCATAACTGTGGAGTCAAGGGTTTCCACTGGGCGTACTGCAACTTGCTGTTTGGAAATCAGCACGCACCATACCCAGCAAAAGCGACTTTGCTGTGGGCTTACTAGATGATATACACAAACAAGACTGGTTACTGTCAGCTAACTAAGGTGGAAACAATAGCTTAATTTGTTTGGCACTGTTTTCTTTTACATTTTTTTCTTGCTGCCTTAGGGATGCCAGCTTCTACCTCAGATCATGCTCGCATATTCGCTTCTTGATTACATCGATATACCAGTGTGAGCATTAAACCATCACAAGTAAATCGTAAACACATCATAAACCATCGTTACTGCAATATCCACCAAACGTTTCTGTCATCTTTTGTTGTATTTCCTTAGCCGGCTGGGTCTGATGTGTTGGCCGCATGGAAGTTGGTTATTTTCTTGGTCAACGTAGTGGATGGGTAGACCCTCAAAGTATACCGATAAATTGGGAGTAATACAGCCAACATGTTTGACATTTGAAAATTTTCATGTGTAACCAATTTTCATGGGTACTTGGGTCCAACCAGCTGTAAATAGGGATAATTATGTTGATGCTGAGGGTAGCTGGAAATTGGGCTACATTTTCCAGTCAGATTTAAGGATTTAGTCTCCAATCCAACAATGGATAGGGATGGTGTATAGTTGGTACAAAATGCGTAAACTACTTGCATAGATAGTTTAGTGTCTGTTCGTTTTTGCCATAAATGGCGATACCTACCAATGAGCTAAAGGATATCTAAGATTGGCCATGAGTTCATCTTTGAGATGGGTCAAATTCAGCAAGCATAATAGACAGTGTACCCTCTGGTAAATTAACATAGCACACTGGAAAATCACCATTTTAATAGGTAAATCAACGAACTAAATGGCCATTTCCAATAGCTACGTTAAATTACCAGAGGGTATATTGTTCGGCCTTTGGCACCTCAAGTGTGCCGCACAGCTGAGGATTCCTTCGAAAGTTTGGGGGAGATCTTTCAAATGGGCGGCCGCTTTCTGGTGTGCATCGGCCGCGATCATGCATCTTGGAGCGGCTGATTTGGGAATGGGTTATTTCTGAACCAATAGGTGGTTAAGAATTAAATAAAAATGTTATATCGATGATTGATTATAGATAATATGCCCACTGGCTGATTTGGGCAAAAACAGATAAGTTAAAACTTGCTACCATGGGGTAATCAAACAGCATGACGGGAAATGCTGATGTCCAATGTGTCACACGCTTGTCTCTCGATTGCCCGGCGTCAGGGGATAGACATTGGGATGGCCAATGCCCGAAAAAAACACACACAGATATGTGATATGTATTTATATATATATATATAACTTTATTTGAAAAAAAGAAGGCGAACCTATGCGCTTCCCAGCATATCTATGAGATGTTCCCACTGAGTTCCTATCCGTTTGCAACATCAACCAACTGAATGTGTACTGTACTTTAATACAACTTGTTTGTTTCCTTGTAGAATCCTCTGGGAATGTAAGATAGTTATGACAAACCCACTAATCATCGTACCAAAAAAAGCATTTTTCCATAGTTATGTTAATTAGTCTGCTGAAGGGTAATACAAATGCATCTTAATATGTTTTTTTGGCAGAGGTCTATGTAAGATTGGCGATAGTTTTCAGGTTGCAAACCTGGAAACTTTAACCGGATGTTGCAGCAGCCCAAAATTCGCAAACCTGGAGCAGCCCCAAATAGGGGGGTGCCAATGGGATTCACCTTTTTGGTGCCCCCCGATGTTCAATCAACATCAATGGAGGCTATTCATCTGAGGTTGACGCTGGCAGATTGTCAACACTAATAGATTCTTCATCAGAATTGTTCATAATGAATCAAAGGATATAATGATTGATGATTTCTTAATATTTACTACTCAATTGATAAATATCATTATTTTTCATGATTGAATAAATGGCATACTATAAATCACAACATACTCATCTATTAAAACCATCTATTTCGCAATAGATTGATAGTAATTAGTAATGGCTGGTATTTCCATATGTCTATTAAGAGTGTCTATTACATCGTTACCTCCATCTTGGATATATCAATAATTGATCGTCAGAATCCGTGATTGAATGGGATAACCAATAACCATTACCGTTTGCTGATTAATCAATAGATGGTGAAATATCTTAATTTAAGTTGCACCTATGGTAATTCCACTGTGCACGATACTTGAATTCATTAATGGTTTATCTGATGTTATCTGTTAAAATTATCAACAATTAGTTGATTTGCATTTCCAACTTACCAGTATAAATGGTTGGTATAAACCATGAAAATTTTGGTGATTTATGGCATTGCTTTACTACAGTTATGGCCCTTTACCAACTATAAATGGTTATAACTGGTGAAATGGGATGAAACATTCCATAACTAGGGTTATAAGTACTTCTAACTGGTAAAGGGCCACAACTGTAAGATTACCATCTGGTAATTTAACATAGCTATGGAAAATCACCATTTTTCATGGGTAAATCCACTATTTCTATGGCCATGTTCAATAGCAAACTGTTAGTTTACCAGAGGGTATCCATGATTGATGCTTCCAGGTGCAAATGTTCGACATGGAACTTGCCTCCTGGCAGACCTGGCCTTTGCCACAGGACGTCGTCCGTGACGTGACGTTGTCCGTCGTTTCGTCGTGAACAATGGCCGCGTTTTGTCAACATGGCGATGGTAGGTGGTGATAAGAGTGAGAGCCACCAAAAGATGGTCATTTAACTCGCAAAAAATCATTGTTTAATTGGAATCTCATAGGAACGTGTGTTTTTAATACAAAGTTGTTTGGGCACATTCCCAAACCATGGATGATTTGAACAAACGTAATGTTTTTTTGTTTTTTGTTTTTTACTTCCAGAAAATGATCGATTAATACAAACTAAATTATGAATTATGGACTTAAAAAATGTCCCGCTGTATCTTCAGACCTGGCAATTCTCTCCAAATTAAACACCAGAAGTGGATGAGGGAACATTTACAGGAAACCAAGGCTTCCTGTAACACTTCCTTCAACCAGTTTAATTTCCAACAAAAAACGATATAACACGTGATTTCCCTCTAAGTCCATTGATTTTAAATACATCAAAAAAAACGATTTGAAGATCTGATTTTCTAGGTTGGATCTCCCCATTTCCACCAGGAGTTGTCTATGGACGACAGCAACTCTTGGGTCAAGCACTGCGGCAGTTGGGCCGTCGCTTTCAACGAGCTCCCGGAGAGCGGTGCGGAGAACGGTGCTGCCGGTGCTGCGTTTGGGGATGCGTGGTGAGACTCGGGGAGCTTCCGAAGCTCCAGGGTTTCATCCTTGGAGATTTTCAGGCTGACTTGGGTTTGTATAGTTATGTGGTATTTATATATATATATACAATACACATATATATATATATATATGCTTTTGTATAGTTTATATATATATATTACATTTAATATCGAATTTAGCCAATGCCATAAACCCACCATTTGGCGATGATACTGACTATCCATTGTTGTTGGGTTTGCCACATTGCTCCGCAGGGAGTGGACCCCGAACGATAGCTAAGTTTTGTTCAAAACTGCAATTCGTATAGGAGTTAATCAAACCGATCATATGGGGAGCCCTTCCTGCAAACGGCAATGCTGATTAATGCCATCCCCATACTATTAAATGCCATCAACAAGATACCCTGAGATGCTTAGATCCAAGACTGAACCAGTACATGTAATGATTTTATTTACACTCAGAATGCTGCGCCAAGTTTTGAGACAGACCCACTTGTTGTAGAGTCAGCCAGAGCTATAGCTTGCACCAGCCATTTACCAAAGCAGTGCCATTTTGCCGGGCAACTTCCAGTTGTTTCCCACTATCCCCCAGACTTGGCCACAGTACTGCCATAACCAACAGGTTTTTGTCTTGGAAACATGCTTCTTTGTGTGTTTTCACCCTGACTTTAAAGAATGCTAAGTGGTTGTTTGCACCGGTGGCACTGGGAAAAAAAAACCTCCTGGGTTTCGGCCTGTTGTTTCGTTGTTCCATCACTCTTTGAGTGATTTTCGTGGCACCACATGTGTCCACTTGGGTGGCCGCCCTTTTTCGGCGCTCATGTGGTCCAAAGAGACCTCAGGTGTGCGCCAGAAAGATTCCTGCATAGAAACATGTTTGTTTTTTGTCATACAAAAAACGAGTCAAAAGTGGAATTGGCCAAAATCTAGAAATTCCACTTCAATTTAGAAATCAATCAATGTAATGTCATGGTTTGATGGCATTTTTTTGAAATCTAGAATCTAGACATTCATGTAATTGAATGACATGGTTTGATGGCAAGTGTCAGAGGATAGACCTTTGGGTGCGGATGCTTCTATCATTTTCTCGGAACAGAATGTCTACAGATTTGATGGATTATCCTGGTGATTTCCGTTCTTGGGGACACATCCCAGATAGTAAGTGGTCACCTGGTCGACAACCATATAGCGCAACCGAATTATAGTGATGGACAATTAATTAGACCATCATACATTTGCTGCTGTTTTTTAAAGCTTCACGGCAAAACTGATCAAAGCGTGCACTTAGAGCATGAGATTAATGACATCCAGAAATTATACACTTGGAACATATCTATATGCTTCGGGCACCATAGATGTTCTAAGTGATTGTCCGCCAACCTAATACAAATTGAACTCAGAGTGAGGGGTCTCCAGTAATTTGCATCTTATGTTGATACAGTTTGAGAAATATTTATATATATATATATGTTTAATATATAAGAATACATGAACTGATCTATGCTTGATTCCCTGCACAAAAAGCACACTTAGAACACATGGCTCCACTTGGCAATATTTCTTGAAGATGCTCGTAATGTAACTATCCCAAAAGCAATGGTTTTATGTTCTAAGTTCTTAGCAAAATTGCTTATGTTCACATGTTCCGAGGGTGGGTTGGTTTTCATTTGTTCATTTTTCATGTTCTAAGTTATAAATTGTCGCTATGTGTTTATGCATATATATATATGTATATATATATATATGTATACATATATATATATATGTATACATATATATATACATATATATATGTGTGTATGTAATGTTTGTAAGGGAATGTGATGGAATGCAATGTGATGTATGCATGCATTTGCATGCATGCATGTATGCATGTGTATATATATATATATATACTTAAATAGCGTTATAAAATAAAATGTATACATGCAGTCCTGGCAGGCTGCAGCGAAGGCAGCCAGCGCGGGCCTCAGCGATCAAGCTTCGTGGATCTCTGGCCTGAAACAACGTCCTTAACATGTTGTTTTCTTTAGTGAGATTGGCTTAGGTCCTTAGATGGTTATTTTTTCTTGATTCCTATGATTTTACGGCGATTTATCATGTTCATTTGATTATTCTGAAATCCATGTCATGTGTTATTTTTCTGGTTTGATCTCTTTTTTCTTCTGGTAAGCAACCAGAGTCTCAGACTGACTTTCCAAACAAGTGGGATTTATCATCCGTGAATCAAACATTTACAAGGTGGTGCCCCAGTTCGGAATCGCTAAGTTGGTGAACATAACTCCAATTTCACAATGGGTGCATGGTAGATATTAATCTACACTATTCCTATGAATAACTATGCAATGCTTTATGGCAGATATAACTATACTATTCCTATGGTTTATAAACCAACTTATAACTGGGGGAGCACCACCGTACAGGGGAGATTCACCATGTTTTTTTCTACGAACACCATCGGGAATCGTCTCACGTTTGTGGCCAGCCAAATTCGTAAGGGTGCATTATTTTTTGACCAACCAAAAACGGTGCAGTTGACCATAATAACCATTAAAACGTGTTTTCAAACAGGAAGACATAAATTGTTAACTTGCGCTCTAATGACATGATGTCAAACCGAGTTCGATTCAAAGAGTTATTTTGGAACTGTCCATTTCTTCGATGTGCACTCAAAATGGGCTTCTCGGCGTTAAACGTTGCAACAGCTATGGCCCAACTAACAGTGTTATGGGTTTATAGTGATATATATATATATATATAACCAACTATAGTTGAAGGAACTATATGTCCATTTATCACTGTTAATGGCCATAACTACACCCAAAAAAACTAAGATTGACCCTACCATCAGCAACCCATCAGGTGTCCCTGCAATGCCACCACCGCCTGCACTGACCAGCCAGGAGCTGGCGGCTTGGGGAACGACCATTTTTAACAGGTAAATCATCAAACAACATCTATTTTCTACGGGCCATTTTCCATGGCTATGTTAAGTAACCAGAGGGTAGCAGTTTTATTTATATAATGGTTTATGATAGGGTCGAATTTTGATGGATTTTGTCCGTATCTGGCACCAAGCGTGCCATTTGATTTGCATATCAGTGTTTATGCAATGATGCTCTTCTAGCTGATATGTCCTTTCCTCGTTGGGAAGAATCACCTTGTTTGCCTCTCTACGGTTGATCGGAAGAAAAAACTGGGTAAACCTTCGATAGGTACGTTGATGGTTCAATCTTTGCTGCAAGTTTATGTCTAACAATCAAATAAATTTCAACCAAAAAAGTTCAATAGTTGGCTAGTTCAACATGTTGCACACCGTCCGTACCAAGCAACTAAAACATACTAAGGGGTGGATCGGATTGGAATGGCCATAGTACGGTGTCGAATCACCACTGGCCACCCTGAGGAGCAGAAGAAAGCGGAAGAGCTGCTAAAATCCTGGGAAGGCATCGCGTTTCGGCACGCGCGCTGGCTCCATGGCTCGAGCTCTTTTTAGGATTTTTAGGGAAAACCGGAAAGCGCCACGGTACAATGTGGCGCTCCAGTTGTAAATTGGTTTGTAAGTTATATTTTAAGCTGTTTAACATTTGTTTAAACTAGTTCGATATATCTATCACAAGTCCTAGTTACTGGACTTCGAAACCAACTTAGCTATCTTGGGGACACGACCTTGTAGATTAGTTACTGCTTACTGGTAGCTTGCTGGTAGATTACTGTAGCTACTGGGAGGTTGGTTGGTGGTTTTGTTTGTTTAGCATCGTGATGATCCAGATATCTCATACTCCACTCAACAGCAACGTTCTCAAGCAGCAAAGCTTACTCACGTTTTCAGTTAGGAAGCTGCACATTTTGCATTGTTGACCATCCAACTCATCCATATAAAGGTGTTTATGCACCTGCAGGCCCTTAGCTAAGATCCTACGGTCGGGACAGCAGAGTATTGAGGACAAGCCATGGATTTACGTCTGATGTGACATGTGTATACTTGTATAAGCTCCAAGTGAATCTTACTATACGAAACTTTACTAAAAAATCTTGAAAAACTAGATGCGTGATTCTAACAATTCTAGCGATTCTAGTGTCTAGTTGAATAGATCAACTTCAAAAAACCTTACGTCCTTTCTTCAAGGTGTATCTTTTACTTATAGCGCGAGGCCGCTACGATGGCCTCACCAAGACGGTGAAGGTGATGTCATGGGCGACATGGCGACATGTAGCCAGGGGTAAACTGTAAAAAATGTGAAGCCATGGGGAAATCCTGGGATAATGATCTACACATGGTGGATTTTCATGGATTTTCCAAATCTATGTTAGTTTATAGAAGGGTAGTTGAGTGAAAAACTCAAATTTAAATCATGGGTTAAATATTGGGTAAATACTTATATAATCTTATATTTTTTTCCTGGTGCCTTAACGGTGCAATACATACAGGTCATTCAACAGATCGCGATGGTATAATCCTGGGAAATTTGTCATGGATTGGGGTAGATGCCAACCAGCCTTAAACAACATGCACGGTATGTAACATTTGGCCATGAATAGACTGTTTTTTTCAATGGATTGGTTTAGTCGGGAAAATCTTCACCGGAAACCATGGATTTTCCCATTAAATCCATGAAATCCATAAGTTTTCCGGTGAAAATTTTCCCGACTAAACCAATCCAGTGAGATTTAATCAACCCGGCGCCAGTGGTTCTGCCAGTCGTTTCATGTTGGTTGATCATCGCCTCCTGCAGCCAGGAATGATATATAGATACAGCCGCCTGGTGATATTCCCAGTCTATCCTTACCTTTGGTTGGTTCATTAAGAAACCTGAAACCTGTGACTAAAATCGACTTCAAAAAACCGTCACCACACCTGGGGACCTGGGATTGTGTGGAAATTAGGCACACCCAAATCCCATTGTTTATCATCATGTTCACGTTCCCAAAATGAAAAAAAACACATTTGGCTCATCATCCCATGTTTTGCGGCACTTTCAATAAAATTCAATCAGATTCGAAAGCGAACTATAGTAAGTTATATCTACCATAAACCATAGCGAGTTATTGGAGTTATGTGGCCACTGAACGCCATCACAAATCAGC